ATACCACTTTTGCCCTCTACATTTTCCCCGCTGTGGGACTCGTAATGAAATTCTGTTTCTGATTCTAAACATGTGAGTTCCCTATTAGCATGTTCCAAAACACCTCAGCTACTCAGCACTGAGCCAGTCCCTCCTGAGTCTGAACGTTAGGCATGAAGGCAGTGCATGCAGGCCGGATCACATCAGTCTGCAGAAACAGAGTCACCAGGCTCTCTGATGTCATGTATAATGTCATGGGGTTGTCCAACTGTTCTGCTCAGATAGGAAAGGTGGACTGTCTGTGAACTGTATTATGTCCATGGGAACATATTATTATAGAGATGAAAATAAGATGTCGTGGCTTTATAATTCAGCGGATTTTCTGTTAAATCATATGATACTCATAACCAGAAGTCTAATCTTAGTAACAATATAACATATATCTTAAGATAATGAAGGGCAAACAAACCAGAAGCAAGTACAATTGAATTGGAACCACTCCATATCTTGTCAGAAAAAAAACAAAATACATTTTTGATTTAAGATAAATCATCTGATGCTTTTTGCAGTGAATTAAATGTTTTATCTTCACTACACACGGTTAAAACTGGGGTCTAATGTCTTCCTCTTTTCTCTGTCTTGCATCAATGTGCTTGGCAGTTGCAAGTCAGACTGAATTCTGCTGATAAATTGGCCACTGTCCTTCTGCCTCTGCATCAGAAAGCATGGAGGTCTCACTAAACAAGTGAAACCCAAACGTTTGCTTAAACACTAATCCAATTTTAAATTATTTCCATAACATTTCAATATCCTTTTTTTGAGTTATATGGGGGCTTTGAGTGTTTGGGCCACCATAGCCAAACCTCAGTAATCAAGATTATGAGTGGGCATTTGACACAGAGACACGGTGTGTAAGCAGCAGGGCTTCACAGCACTGAGCCTAACCAAGCCTGACGTGTGGCTCAATCTGAGGTCCATCTGATGCCAGTCCACATGTACTGTTTCTCTGTGGGTCAGGCATTACACTTGTAAACAGCACCTTGTAATGTAAAGAATGAGACTGGATGGGGAACATTAAATATGTTCCGAACTGTCTTTACTCACATCAGCCAATAATGTGGGTAGACCTTATTTCGTCGTCCCTTTTGGAAGGTAACAATGTTCAGCATAGATGAAGATAAATAAAAAAAATCATTATCTTAGTCAAAATCATAGTCATGCTGTCCCAGTGAGAAATACAAAAATAAAATCTAAATTGTCCATAAGTCAAAGCGACCACTGGAAACATAGCTAATTTCTTATGGTCGGGTATTTTCTACTTTGTGCTGGCGTGTTCCGGCTCAGACGAAAGCATCGCTAACTTGTTTTTTCACAGGCGATTACAGTGAGAACAAGACGGGCTCACAGGCCGGCAGAGCATGGGACCTTCATGAGGCTTAGAGCCACCTCCGGGATCAATGTTGCCATTTTGTTGATCAAGCAGCACAGATCCACCATGCAAGATGCATTTCGTTTGCTAAGTAGCTATCTGAAGCGCCTATTCATCGAGCAATTTTTCACAGGAGTAAAAGTGGATAGCATGATGATGCTGAGCTCTTGAATAACATCTCCAGTCTGCACGAGATCCACTTTGTACATTTGGTACAATGTTTGTACTATATGAATTCATGTCTGAACTTGAAGGTTTTGATTTGAGTTTGTGACTATGTGGGTCTGGGGGTTACACAGGACTACCCTTAGCATAACAGCTAACACAGAAATGTAAGAAACACAAATCAATAGAATCAAATCCAGGGCTCATCCATGGTGACAGTGTGTCTGCTGATGTCTACTCTAGCTTAGCTTCGAGCTATCAGGCCTTGAGCCATGTTCTGCGTATGTGGCTAACTGCGTTAGCTTGATATGGATGTTGAATAGATACAAGCCTGGACTTATTCTAAAAATGTTAATACAACTGTCCACATAGCAACAAGTCCTGATTATTCACATTTAAGTGAGTCATGACCAAGATTAAATCAAACATGAAATCTTCTTCAGATAAGAATTAGAGAGAAATCACCTCAATGTATTGTTGAATTAAATTCAATCTTCACACACAAAATCTGTACATGGAATAAAAAACAATACAATGTATACATGTAATATGTTCAAGTGACCTTCCACACTCAAAGAAATGATATGTTAGATTTACTTAATCTAGTTATGTCAACCGGCTGCACGTAACAAGGCTAAGTAAATAGGAAACAGACTAGTAAACTAATATTTACTTCTTGCATTTAAGTAAATCTTACCAAAGCATCTTAATTAAATGCTACATCATACAGTTATGTTGTATTTGCTTAACAGTTATGTTGAATTTACTTAAATTGTTGTTTTTACTTAACACAATTATGTTGTATTTACTTAAAGTTTGCACTGATTTACCTAACGGTTAGGTTGTAATTACTTAACACAAATTAGTTCCATTTATGTTGTAGGATTGTGTTATTTGCACTTAACATCATTTAATCCAAATTGCTCTATCAATATAAGTAATTCAAATGACTCCAACTCAGTAATTTGTATTCCGCTCACTTTATTTTAAATGTTCATTTTACACTTATAACATTGCATTTTGCAAACAACCATCTGAATTGCCACAACAATTCAACAAAAAAAACACTTAACTCCAACAGCCCATTTGTGGTAGGTGCACATATTAGAATTTTAAAGCTCTTTGCGTAAAAAACCCATGACAGCTGCTGAACTTGACAGTGATGAGAAACACGAGTGACTCAAGAAGTTAACATGTGGGCTGAAAAGCTACAATAATGACTTATTATCTGAACATTTTATAAAATGCAACTTTACTATGAAGTATGGTGTTTTTATGTCTTTCCAAACACTTAGATGAAACGCATCACATAATATTGCTCAAGCACATAATGTGTTACAGTAGATCTTTGCCTCTGTTATACACATGAACATATGTCTTGAACTTTCAAAAGCAGAAATACAATTGTGAGTGTCTGTGTGTGTGGTGTGTCTCTCTGTGTGTGGTGTGTGTCTCTGTGTTTGTGGTGTCTCTCTGTGTGTGTGTGTGTGTGTGTGTGTGTGTGTGTGTGTGTGTGTGTGTGTGGTGTGTCTCTCTGTGTGTGGTGTGTGTCTGTGTGTGTCTCTGTGTGTGTGTGTGTGTGTGTGTGTGGTGTGTCTCTCTGTGTGTGGTGTGTGTCTGTGTGTGTCTCTGTGTTTGTGGTGTCTCTCTGTGTGTGTGTGTGGTGTGGTGTGGTGTGGTGTGTGTGTGTGTGAGAGAATGTACCGAGATGGAAATGAACTGGACGTTATCTCTGTCACAGTATTTTGTCCTTGGGATTACTCTTGTAATCTGTTTTTCAGAACCTGCACCTTGGTTGACAGTCTGTTGCCATCCAACCCCATCAATACTTTTTGAATGAATTCAAATGTATGTTTCAGGTCCTTGGGGTAGCTCAGATTGAGGCTGTAAATCAGTCCAAGCAGTACTGCCCATCCATTTGCCAAGTATTTCAGCTCTCGCAGCACTCCAACACCCTCGATGATGACGCCAACATCCGCAAGTGGTTCCCCGGGTTCTGCTCCTTCGTGTTTCACAAGATAGAGTCCCAATACCATTGGCTCCATTTGGGTTGTTGCAAGTTCAACATCCTAAAGTGGGATTAGAACATAGTATTCATGATTATCAGTATGAGAACCCTGACACACATCATTTTATAATATGAAACAAATGAGCAAATCCTTTTATTGGATCCATTGTAAATAAATACATGTAGTTGTAAATGTACATGAACAATATAACCAAAGTAGCAGCAAATACTTTGAATAAAAAACAAATTCTATTATTTTTATTTAAAGAAGACATATTATGCAAATGTTCAGGTTCAAATTAGTATGGAGTGTCTCTACTTTAAAGAGTCCTCTCCTGCTGATGTTCAGGTGTATATCAGTATGTAGTGTCTCTACTTTAAAGAGTCCTCTCCTGCTGATGTTCAGGTGTATATCAGTATGTAGTGTCTCTACTTTAAAGAGTCCTCTCCTGCTGATGTTCAGGTGTATATCAGTATGTAGTGTCTCTACTTTAAAGAGTCCTCTCCTGATGATGCTCAGGTGTATATCAGTATGTAGTGTCTCTACTTTAAAGAGTCCTCTCCTGCTGATGTTCAGGTGTATATCAGTATGTAGTGTCTCTACTTTAAAGAGTCCTCTCCTGATGATGCTCAGGTGTATATCAGTATGTAGTGTCTCTACTTTAAAGAGTCCTCTCCTGCTGATGTTCAGGTGTATATCAGTATGTAGTGTCTCTACTTTAAAGAGTCCTCTCCTGATGATGCTCAGGTGTATATCAGTATGTAGTGTCTCTACTTTAAAGAGTCCTCTCCTGCTGATGTTCAGGTGTATATCAGTATGTAGTGTCTCTACTTTAAAGAGTCCTCTCCTGATGATGCTCAGGTGTATATCAGTATGTAGTGTCTCTACTTTAAAGAGTCCTCTCCTGCTGATGCTCAGGTGTATATCAGTATGTAGTGTCTCTACTTTAAAGAGTCCTCTCCTGCTGATGTTCAGGTGTATATATATATATATATATATATATATATATATATATATATATCTGTGTTTGGCTATGTTTCAACTTACCAAATGTTCCTTTATGAAGCTCTCGGAACTTTCATTCAAGTAGACGCAGAGCGCTTTAAGGACACAGTCCCGTCGTGTTTCAACTGTGGGATCCTGAGGGACAAACACATTTTCAAAATCTTCACACAAGAATACTGATTATGCTTGTGTGCTGATTTTTGGCAAGTCAAAGAAAGGGGGTCAGAGAGGTTAAAATATATTTATATGAGAGGGACAACAAGAGAGAGAGATAAAGAGAATATGGTGTTGCAGTGCCCAAACTACACAATTTATTACAACTACATACCTTGTCCATGGCTGCCATGATCAGGCCCAAATTGCGTCCTGCTGTTCCCCCCTTCTTTTTGAAAACCTTCATCAACTGAGACGAATGGTGATCCAGTTGAGACATGAAGGTAGGCAGCAGCGGAACGGTGGTGATGCGGGTAAATTCTGCGTTTACCTGCAACACATTGTGATACAGGTTCAAATGTTTTGTTTAAAGCTAATAATATCCATCAAGTGTCATAGCAGAAAGGACAGGACATCTACTGGTGTAAACCAAACAAAGAATTTCAGCTGAGGTTCTTTTCTTATACATGTGCATCTATTAAAATAGCTCTGCACTTAATACAGGTAAAGATTCAACATGACATCTACTTAAATGGGTTTTAAGAGCATTCCATGTTTTGAAAGAGCATGGGCATTCATAGTATGTGCATGGATATGGGTGTCTCTGACCAAAATGGCCGTGTTTTAATTTATAGTGCTTCAGTAATTGGTACCTTGTAGATTGAGTCTCAGTACACTGTTTGCATCTCCACATTCAAAACCTAGAGAAAAAGAGAAATGTGTTAATGATCCAAATGTATTGTAAATAACAACTATTATTGCAGCCATTAACATAATTCAGGGTGTGAGGTGCAGGATATAGCAACCCATTACTGGATCTTAAGCAGTGGTGGAAAAAGTACTCAGATCCTGTACTAAAGTAAAAGTATAAATACTCCATTACTTGCTATAGTCCCAAGTTCAAAATAATACTTAAGGTAAAGTTCCAAAGTGTTATTAGCCAAATATAATAAAGTATCAAAAGAAAAAGTACTTTGTGCAGAAAGCCTTTTGTAAAAGGGTTGCATCATAGAATAAAAATGAATGTTCTTATAATAAAAAATCTACATATATACAAGATTTTTTTAATGTTGTGATTTGTTAATATAGAGCATATTTTGGAAAGAACTGAGTAAATTAGTAGTACATGTATATGAATATAAACATTATCTAAAAAGGTAACTACAAGTGTCAAATAAATGTAGTGTTGTAAAAGTACAATATTTCCCACTGAAATGTAATTGAGTAGAATTACAGAGTAGCAGAACATGGAAATACTTTTCCACGATAAATTACTGTTTAAACACAAGCAGTTGCCACGGCAGGTAAGTGGCAACTGCCACACACATTCGCTTGGCTCGGCACCCAGAGTAACACCCCTTCAGCAGCCGCAGTTGTCTCAGCAAATAGTGGCATCTGCGGCTGAAGTACCTGCCACTATTTAATCTTGCTCTCTCTCTCTGACTATTATAAAGAAACACGTTTTCGGGTGAATTACGTGTCTATTTAAGAGCTGTCTTAATGGAAGATGTGCTTGTTGAGTGTGTTCCTGTACATGCTTTAAATAATTCACACTTTGATATTCCTGGCCGACATAATTAACGTAACGACCAGGCACGGCTCCGACTGACGCAACAGTACAGTGCACAGATGGGATTTTTATTTCTTCCAAATAAGCTTTACAATTGAACAAAAAAACCTTCCTCAGGGCGTTACACTTGATGAAGTTATTTTTAATAGACTTAGAAGACCTTAACCGACTATGACCTTTTTGGCACTGGAGATGTTTGCAACCAGGCTCTCAAATCTTTAAATCAAGCACATTTAAAAAAAAAAATTAAAAAAAAGGAGGGAAAAAACGTGTCCACTTACTTTTGGTAAGAGCTAACATTACTATTATAACCACATCAAGCTAAAATCATTAAATACATAACGATTGACTTATACAGACAAAGCTTGAAATGTCACCTCTTTTGTGACATATTCTAACACTTTTAAGTGCAAGGGAACATAATTAAAAAGTGACCGTTAAGCTAGCTGTTAGCTAGCTGTTAGCTAGGCTGCACCGCTTTTCAAATCTATCATCAAAGTATACAGTTGGTAGCAGGGAAATCAAAAATACACATCAACTTTTGTATTTCAGGGACCGTTTGTGTTTAATATATGTTAATATTTAAGAAACTTACCATAACATCGCAGGATGGCACAGGAAAGGGAAAAAATGCGGTTCTGTCATCTCACAGTCACAGGATTCAAATGACACATGTCCCCGGTCTTACAGCGCATGTGCTGAGAAAGTACGGCAAGCACTTTGGGACAATCAGTGCGTTTTAAATAACTTTACCATTTAAATACAACACAACATGGTAATGTAATCCCAAAACTTTGAACTTTTACATAAATGCAATTAAAGTCTCTTGATTTAATTGTAAAAAGTGCATTTACTTAGTAGTTTTAATATAAAAAAAGCAATTAATGCAAACAACATCCATATTTCATTTCTAAGAGTGCAGGGAAACTGTGCTTTCTTGAGTTTTGACCATTTTAAGTCTTTTAAAAGTATGAGCTTTATTTATAAATGTTTACATGGACTGCCCCCCCCCCCACCCCCTAGGGGAATTCATCCACAGAAAACACACTGGACGCTGCACTAGGTCAGAAACCAGAGGAGACTGTGAGGTCCACCGCAGAAGGACCACTTTTGGACAAAATGTCCTCTCCATTAAAGGCAGCTCTTTGTGGAACAGCCTCCCTACTGAGATACGGGATTGTCCCACTCTCAATAGCTTTAAAGGTCAACTCAGAGAATGGTTGAGAAACAACCAGACGTGCAATCACCGCTAAATGCACTTTAACACAGGGGTATCTCCTCTTGCCCTTTAACACAGGGGTATCTCCTCTCCTTTAACACAGGGGTATCTCCTCTCCTTTAACACAGGGGTATCTCCTCTTGCCCTTTAACACAGGGGTATCTCCTCTTGCCCTTTAACACAGGGGTATCTCCTCTTGCCCTTTAACACAGGGGTATCTCCTCTTGCCCTTTAACAGAGGGGTATCTCCTCTTGCCCTTTAACACAGGGGTATCTCCTCTTGCCCTTTAACACAGGGGTATCTCCTCTCCTTTAACACAGGGGTATCTCCTCTTGCCCTTTAACACAGGGGTATCTCCTCTTGCCCTTTAACACAGGGGTATCTCCTCTCCTTTAACACAGGGGTATCTCCTCTTGCCCTTTAACACAGGGGTATCTCCTCTTGCCCTTTAACACAGGGGTATCTCCTCTTGCCCTTTAACACAGGGGTATCTCCTCTTGCCCTTTAACACAGGGGTATCTCCTCTCCTTTAACACAGGGGTATCTCCTCTCCTTTAACACAGGGGTATCTCCTCTCCTTTAACACAGGGGTATCTCCTCTCCTTTAACACAGGGGTATCTCCTCTCCTTTAACTCAGGGGTATCTCCTCTCCTTTAACACAGGGGTATCTCCTCTCCTTTAACTCAGGGGTATCTCCTCTTGCCCTTTAACACAGGGGTATCTCCTCTCCTTTAACTCAGGGGTATCTCCTCTCCTTTAACACAGGGGTATCTCCTCTCCTTTAACTCAGGGGTATCTCCTCTTGCCCTTTAACACAGGGGTATCTCCTCTCCTTTAACTCAGGGGTATCTCCTCTCCTTTAACACAGGGGTATCTCCTCTCCTTTAACACAGGGGTATCTCCTCTTGCCCTTTAACACAGGGGTATCTCCTCTCCTTTAACTCAGGGGTATCTCCTCTTGCCCTTTAACACAGGGGTATCTCCTCTCCTTTAACTCAGGGGTATCTCCTCTCCTTTAACACAGGGGTATCTCCTCTCCTTTAACTCAGGGGTATCTCCTCTCCTTTAACTCAGGGGTATCTCCTCTTGCCCTTTAGGTATCTCTTGTATCCTCTCACTTTAGAAGTCGTAGCTGCTACATTGTGTTACCGTGTCATAAATACTTGTGTATGCTGCTCTTGCTCTTTTGCACTTTTTGCATATCATGTATTTTGTTTTTACAATGTTTGTAAATGTAATCTTCTTAAATGTTTTATGTGAGGGACTGCGGATGGAAACGAGCTCAAAGCTAAATCTGGCACTGTTACGCTTGATACATTTGAATGTTTGAAGTGTTCATTACTGAGCATTGTCCCTGCTAAATAAACAATTCCATCAATAAATAGCTTAGGATGACAGCGCTAACTAAATGCAGCTAACAACCATCTGCCTCCAAACTGCTGTTTTCACTGACGCTCTACAACATGTGGGCTGAACTGAGCCGGTTCCCTTCACTGATGCTAACTGTGAGAAGTGGTCATAGTGCCGAGGATACTTAGTGGACATTGAGATCATGGTTTCATTATCAAAAACATTTGTGATAAATCTAGCAAAGCATCTAATATATAAAAGCATCAAATCATTTTACATTCTGATATCAACAAAAGTCCGTCATGAAGAAAAATGACATGCGAGCTTAACTGAATGAGTGGCGTGACAAAGCTTGTAATGTAAGTGATCCCAGTCATCACAATGTGCTCTCATCCTCCAGCTTCTGGGTGAAGGGGCTTCTTTGTGAAGACATGCATGGGGCGAGGGGAGCATGCAGACCAATGAAAGCTCACTTATTCAGGACGTCTTCTCTTGTCACTAAACTCAGATGGAACACTGAAGTCTTTTTCATAACGGAGCATGTCATGACAGGGTTGGTCACACACCAGGATGTGCTACAGAAATAAAAGCTATGTGGTGGACGATGGTTCCTTATGATAGAGCAACAAGGTTATCTTTAGCATGTTCTGCCTTTGCAAAGGCTTTAACTTGGTTATTAAAGAATTATGATTATCAAGTGCCAATCATCATCAGACCTGAGCATGGGACCTGAGACAGCTGGGACCTGAGACAGCTGGGACCTGAGACAGCTGGGCCCAGGCTTTTTCTTTTGGGCAAGCAGGTCCTTTGTTCAATGGACAGCTATGAAAGGGGGATTCTGAGGGGATGACACGTGGCTCATGGGCCTGGGCCAGATTCAAACCTGGGTCCTCTGCTGACGGCCCATCCCCAGTGATGGGCCGTCAGCTCTATCAGAGCCTGAACACTGCCTCTTTCTCCGGTGTGTTCATGCACACAGTCTCTATGTGCTCCACATCTCGTATCCTCCTGTTTCCTGCTGAGACCAGCTGGAGCTTTAAGCCTCTGATGGACGGACACACACACTGAGAGGATCTCTGCCACTACAGAGTGTACGAGCCCCTGCACATCTGTATACAAATGTTTCATCTGTAGTTTGGCTCCTGGATTTTCTTTTGACACCACTGACACGTTCCCTCTGCAGACACTTTGACATGATGACTGTCCACTGACTGTCTGTGAGGTAGGGGGTCTACTAACAATGGGACGGTTTGATCCCAGCCCCTGCAGTCAACCTGTTGATGTGTCCTAGGGCAAGATACTATTATTATATGTCTTTATTGAACAAGTACCATGCAACATTCATCTCAGAAAGAGAAGAGGATATGCTAGATCGTAGCTAAAAGCACATTTTCTGTTTGTAGCATTTGTATCCCTTTCCTTAAAGTGAAACATCTGTATATTTGAACCAGTTCTTATTTCAAATGAGGAATCTTTAAACGGAGACATTTAAATACACAAGAATGACGAGTCAATGTGTGTTGACTGACATCAGGCTGGAATATCCTCACTGAGAACACTGGGGGTCAGGGGTCAGCTGTTTAACACACCCTGAGACATGAGCTGATGTGAGGGGGGGCTCAGCAGGCTGGGGGACTCATCCATTACATGTAACGGGATTAAGTCATCAGGATACAAAACAAGACTACTACAGTTACACAAAAAAATGTAATCAGATTACTGTTACATAAAAAAAAATGGGGATGACAAGTATGAGTACAATGCTACAATACATTTATTTGTTTAATGTATTTATTATAGGTGGACGTACTGCTTAATTATTCTTTTTGGTTTTCATTTAGGCTACTTTTAATGTTCTTTATTTGAAATAACTTTTTCCAAATGCAGTTGGTGAACACCTGATTTATAAAACTAAAACACGGTGTTTAATTGATGTATTAAGCTAATTATACTATTCTGTAGGCCCTCGATACTAAATACAGTATCTTGGTTTCTTCTTCCCTAAGGTCACATTGTTCTGTTGTCTTACATAATACACTTACAGAAACTCAAATGTGTCATTGTTATTTCTTTTCTCTTGTATATCTTGCATTGCATTTGATATTGAGGTAACCCAAAAGAATCAGAATACCACTCCATCCCACAGAGGGGACATTTACATAGTTACAGCAGCAGAATCGTATAATAAAGAGTTTAGAGAAAGTAATCAGCTTAAAGTGGGGGGCGCAGATGACCTGCACCATAGTCTGATTTCCTGTCTCTCTTCATAGATGAATGATGAGCAAAGATACAAAGTGCCTACGAAGCTACGAAGCTCTGGGGCCTCATTTATAACGCCTTGCGTAGGATTGACGTAGGAAGGTTGCTTACGTAGTACAAAGCACAAAAATAGGTACATACATTTTCCGCCATTTTCCGATTCACAAAACATTGCGTACCGGCGAGGGAAGTGCGTACGGCACTCCCTACGCCTGTTTCCCTTTATAAATCACAATCGACTCGTAACGCCCATATTTGCCTATACATAGTCAAAGAAACGCCCATTCATTCATTCATTTTGACTGACTGCATGAAGAAGATCGCAGGAAATTACGATAGAACAGCTAAAAAAGACATCTCACACCGTGTCAGATTTAGGTTATTGTGGGGAGGTCGAGATAAATCATATTGTTTGGTGGATGCAGTTTGAACCAGAGTAGCAGCATGGAGGTCGGATCGTCACCAAAATAAATAAATAAGTGGTCCGAAAAAAGTTAATGACAAAAAATATACACATAACATTCCTCAGGCAGTGTGTTTGTCCCGGGGACAGGAGACACCCCCTTGATGAGAAACTGTAAGAAATGATCGGGGAATCCCTCCGGAGTGGAGTCATGACGACTGGATCTGTTTGTGTTCCAGCTGTCGATCAGCAACTATATATCCATAATCCACCAGTTAAAGGAAATAGAACTAATGTGTTGTGTTATATTAGCTGTACAATTGACCACATATGGTGTTCTTAGTTTCCATACCTCCTGTGTTTTACGAGCGACTTATCAAGTCTTGGCAAACGGCATAAAACACGATTAAACGTGATAGTATATAAAACCATGCTCGTATCTACAACCTATAGAAACGCAAAACGGCGTCAGTTTAGACGTAATTCTGTCCTCCTGCTTACCGCATCATTTATGAGAAAACATTTCATAACATTAACACAACATATTCGAGGTGGTTTTAAATAGCATATCCGTATTTATTTATTTCTCCAAGTTATGTTTTTGTGTGCACTGAGGAGTCTCAAACAGGCGTTTGTTTAATCATTTAAAGATTGGCTTTAATCAATGTTTGAAAATGAATTCTTCATATTTGATAAATGAGAGGTAACATTTTATTTATGGTATTATTTCCACATATTTCTCTCCATTCTTCCTTCTGCCAACGGTGTCGCAGTTTCTCGTCTCTCCCGTGTGTGTGCTTAGTGCGTACGCATGGGTTAGAGTTTGCGTGGAGGACAGCACATTTTCCCGTCAAGTTAGTATTTTATAAATCGCAAACATTGCGTAGAAACTGGCGTACGCCATTTTTTGAGCGTATATCCCTTTATAAATGAGGCCCCTGAGCAGCGCGGTGATGTCGCACTGTGAGCAGCGCGGTGATGTCACACTGCCCCCTGCTGGACAGACCCCAGAGCACATTGCTCTTGTGGTGACATTGATGTAGGATATGGAAAGGATATATTCCATCATCAATCTGAGATGGTTTAGTATACCAAAGATGGTTTTTTTTCAGTATTTCACCCAGTTTAGCCAAAAAAGATTTGGCATACTCACTTTTACAACATTGTTGTAAAAATAACTACAATTTATTCGTTTAATTGTTTAGCACAGTTCTCTGGGTACCTCTTCACTTCTTTCATGTTTTACTTTTTGAATTCTGCTACTTTTTCTACCTTGAATGTGTTCTTATTTCATTTGAAATGTATTATTGTGTGTTTTATTTAATGTTAGTCTATTCTTTAACGTTTGTCCTTTTTTACGTGTCCTCTTCTCGCTGCAACACCATTCGTCTCTGCTGGGGGGGGGGGGGGATTTGTCTCTCAGCAGCTCACTGATGAACACCTGCACTTCCTGTTTGTTCTGAAGACATTTCACACATTTTCAGCAGACATGTTATTTTCCATGGCGTCACCTTTAATTTCAACATACATACATATGTTTGAACATTTGAACCGGACATCAAACTACAACAGCCACTGCATGCGGGTTCTTTCACCTTCCCGGGGCAAAGCTACAGAAGGTTCAGGGGATTATGGGAAACCTTTTTAACTTAATTGAAGATTTAAAAACATTTCTAAAAAGCAGCAACTCAATAAAGTGCATTTCTTCACTCTTCCCTTCCACTTGGCAACATGCGTGATGGCTTCAGTCTGAAGCTTTTCACCGCACTGCAAACGGAACAGGCACATCCTCTGCGCGCTCTCTCTTCAGCAGTCCCAGGCTTTCTGATTGAAAGGCAAACTATTCAATTACATTATATACACACACAGGTTAGATCCCAAGAGTAAGGGTACAATTTCATTTCAAAAAGGGTAGCTGTAGCTAGATGTACCCACTCTTGGAAACTTTAGTACATTTACAGTCACATAAAAGGCCAATAGCACCTAAATGTATATATTTACTGCAAAAACGAAATAACTATGAAATATGATGCCAGATGACAGGGTGAGCACACACCCCGACATGTTCTTAAGTGTTTGTGGTTTTATTTTAGAATCCTCCAATTGTCTTGGCAGCATTAGCATCACTGTATCTCTGTGGCTGTGTCATTGTAATGCTGTCTGATGGTACATCCTCCAGAGTCCTTCCATTCCTAACACCTCTGTCTGAAGTGAACCAAAAGTGCACTGACAGGTGGGGGGGGGGGAGAAGGGGGGGCCAACAAATGCATTCAGTGCAACACAAAAAGTTCAAAGTTCAAAGAAAAGGCCGGGGGGTGATACACAGGTCACCAACACGATGCTACCATCTTACATGAGAATATGATATGATAACATCCTCTAGTCTCGAGCTTGGAAGGAGGCTTCATTTGATATGTATGGAAGATTAGTATGGCTGCATGGAAGATGTTCTGAAGTCATTTCATTAGAGAAAGCTGAACATGAAGTTGCTTGCACCTGACTCACTGAACTCCACACTGATCATCAAACTAATCCATTTACTGTTGAAAAATCTAATGTAAGATTTCCTTTGCTGACAAAGCTCAGTGTCTAGAACGTGAGAATCCCAAGAAAAGGTCATTTCTGATATTGAAGTGGGAACTTTCACTTTGTCAAATGACCAATTGGCCCGGATTCAGAACTCCAGAAAGAGATCCGGTTCATTCAAAATAACTCCAACACGTGCAGAACTGAGTGCACCCTCCATCTTATTCCTGTGTGCCGTATAGTTCCAGTGTTCACACAAATAGTGCCAAACTGTTTCCTCCTTAACTTTAAGTGACCTTACAGGAGTTTTCGATGTTCTACTGCCATTATAAACATGCTAACATATTTGCAATGACTTCACAGACGAAACAACCTTGCAAAAATGAAGATGTAGGTTAACTCTCAGATGAAACAAATGACAAGTCTCTACATCTGCAGCGCTGGGCTGTTCCCCACAGTGAGGGGTTCATGTGTAGAGGCTATCAGTAGGAATCATCTCAACTCAGTGTGAAGCCTGGCTCCACAGAGGCAGCAGTAACATCAGTTCTACAGCTCACAGAACTCATAGGCTTTGAGAAGGAGAAGTCCTTTCCTTCATATCGCTGTGATTCAAATGTCAGTACAGCAGTTTCTCTTCCAGTGACAAACTCCAACAATTCCATTTCTGATAGACTATTCTTTAAGTTGACTAAATATACAATTGGAGAAATAAATTATGTTGCATAATCCCCCTAACATTTACATTGTATTCCACTCCTTTAGCATGGCACTTGTCCATTGTTCATATGTATATACAAAATCAGATCTACACAATTCCATCTGGCATTATATTCAGTACGAGTGAGATTTAGAGGACAGTGTGGAGGTTCTGAGAAGCTGGGGAAGGACTTCTGTTGTGGAGTCAGATCATGAGGGTCAGGCCTGTATACCGAGTCCACAACTGAACATGACTCCAGGATAACCTGGGGGGGGCAGATTTGGAGTCTGTGGTTAAGCCGATTTAATATTTTTATTTATTTATTTTTAAAGGTGATTTAAATGTTTTTTCTGTGTGTGTGAAATCACCAGCTGACCACAGGACCCCGCCACCCTGAGCTCAAATCAATACTTCCATAACCACGTGGTAATCTTCCACTCATATCACACTTCTGTTTCTCTTCACAACACTGTGGATCTTTCCTCTTAGCATCAAATCTCAGACGTGTCATCTAGAGGGGGGGCTCAGCGGGGGGGGCGTGTTCCTCCGTGGTGTCCGTCCCCAGGTGGACGCTCTGTGCTTCACTTGCTGTGGTGGAGGTACTGCTGGGTAAACATGTTCAGCTCGCTGTCCAGCCAGCCTGCCTTGTTCCTATCAACAAAATACACACAGACACACATATTGAGGGCTGACAGTAAACACACCGTAACAACTGCTGTGGGGGGTCTGCACTAACTGAAACATATATATATATATACATACATACATATATATATATATACACATATATACATACATATGTATGTGTGTATATATATATATATATATATATATATATATATATATATATATATATATATATATATATATATATATATATATATACACACATACACATACACACACACACACACACACATATATATATATACACACATACATATATATATATATACACACCCATACATCTTTATGTCTCCTTGTCCTTCAGTCATATATATTCAGTCAAATTCAGTTATAGAGGCCTAATTCACATCTGCCTTGAAGAAATATTTGGTTAAAATAGATTTATAAAAGGTGAAGTCTGACTGATGGTTTCACTGTTCTTAGCCTCCGCTGATAGCTTTGAGTCAAGTTGCATTTAGAGACTACATGCATGAATGGGAGCGCAGTTCAATTCAAACTGTCACACCAAACAGGAGCTCTGGTCTGCTGGTGATCTCATACTGTAGGACATGGGTGGGCAACAGGCGGCCCACGGGCCATTGTTGGCCCGCCAGCAAGAATATTTGGCCCGGAAAATTAGCTTTGTTTTGAAAGAAAAGCTTTGGCTCATCGGACATTTATGAGAGAAAATCTCTAATGTCCGAGTGCAAGTGAATGCAGCACAAGACGCGAGCCTTGTAACCCCTCCCCTGGCGCGAGCATGGACATGTGATTGTCATTTGTACGGGACGGCGCAAAACGAGAAGCATTCGGTCTACAATGACAGAGAAGAGACTGTCAGCATTGATTCAAAACGCACTAAAGCTTTGGATCTTAATCATTTTGTGAGCAGGGGCGGACTGGCCATCTGTAGAATCTGGAGAATCACAGATCACAGGACACAGCGAGGCGTGTGTGTGTGTCTCACCGCAGCAGCTTGGCCTTGCTCTGCAGGCTGTCCAGCAGCTCAATCTTGGTGTTCATGTCAGTGATCTCGTCCTCCAGGTTCTGCCGGGTCACATCCACCTGCTGGCAGAGCTGAGCAAACACACTGGCCAGCTCCCTGAGGACAGAAAGACACCATGGGGGTCAAGAGACATGCAGCGTTCTTTACACGCTCAAATAGCTTGTTGTCAATGCACAGTTGTAAATGTTAACATGCTCACTGCTGCACTTGGTGGCTGCAGTTGGAGCCGGTGTAGCTGACGATGAGCTGCAGCTTCTCGCTGGCGTAGTCCACAAACTGTCTCTTGAAGGCCCTCTCCTTGGCCTTGGTGGTCCAGGTGAGCCGCTCGTAGATGTAGAGGAGTCCGTACAGACCCACTGACAGGGCGATCAGACGCCAGCCCACCGCCTTCCAGATCTGCACACACACAGCGCTTTATGTCTGCTGACCCCCCCTCTAATATCTACACGCACTGGACCAGAGTGTGAGTGTAGAGATATGAGCTGCTATAATATGGATCCAGCCGGTCAGGATCACTGATGGCTTGTCCTGATGTACAAAAGCTTTTTGAGGGTAAGGGCTTTGAATCAACCAAGCATGAAGAAATAAGTCAATATCAATGCATGTGATTTTTTTTTACATACTCATTTTGTAATAAAAATATTGGAAACTGTGTGAAAACATGCATCATAATAAAACACACATTAAGAGTGTAGTAATTACTTATTGGTTTATTTTACTGCTACTACATTTCAAAACAGGAATTCAAATTAATAAAACAAAAGAATGCAAGTATTATATAAAAATGTTTCAACTAGTAATATTTCATGTCACTACATTATTAATATGGATATATAGATAAAATGATATGTTATTATTGCTCACACAGACACAAGGCCCGCCTCTCAATAAATGTAATTGGAAAATAGGGAAAAAAAGGGGTTAACCAAGGTGCGTGTGTGTGCGTGTGTGTGCGTGTGCGTGCCCTCACCACGCCACCAACGACAAGCACACCCATGGAAGTACGTGAGGTGAGGGAAGCGAGACCAGTCACCATGGAGACCATCAGCTCCTCCTGGGTCACGGAGCCCTGGGGGAAGGGGGGCATGCTGCTGCTGACCGGGGTCAGGGCGAGGGGCCGGGGGACCTGCAGGGGGGGACAGGGCCACATTCAGAACTGGACGCTCCAAACAGCATAGCAAAAAAACCTCAACGCTACAAAGTCTCTATGGAAAGTATGTAGGAAGTAGAGAAATACACAACTTTAGAATTTGCAATTGTGGATAATTCTGAGGTAGCATGATGAACTGATTTAAGAAAACTTGTCTTATTCAACATTTGTTCATTGTTAACATTTAAACGATAAGATATACGGAAATGTGTTCTGGACTCCGTCCTGCAGTTCCACATACATGTACATATACAAACATAGTAAACATTACACATACACATATCATCACTCATACACCGTTTGCACATACACAATACACAGACACACATACTGACGCAGGCGACCTATTGCACAACCCTCATGGCCAACAAGAGTATTACATCACATGTGAGTGTTGAGCAGCTTAATAGACAGAGGCAGGAATGACTGCTTATAGAGGTTCAGCCTACTCTTGGGAACCCTGCATCTTCTACCAGAAGGAAGGAGCTGGAATTCTGGGTGGAGAATGTGGGGGGGGATCAGACACGATTTGTTGTGCCTGTCCAATAATGGACTGCTCATGATACCATATCTTATGGTGCTCTCCAACACTGCATGATAAACCAATAACATGAACTTCTGCTCGACTCCGTAAGCCATGAGTGTACGCAACATACAACCGCTGTTGAAGTCTAGAGCACAGACCCGGACCCTCCAGCTGAGTGTACTATCTATATTAACACCAAGGTACTTATAGGAACCTTACTGCCTGATAAATTGCACACTGGATCTACTTTATTGTAAACTCTCAAACCAGCAGTGTCATTAGTGCTTGTGATCAATAACTAATGCATAAGCTCATGATTAATTTCAATGAGGGATATACGCCATGTCTAATCAGCACTTACAGTCAACACATCTCAAATTGTATTCCCTCTATATTCTGAAGGTTTTGACAGAGACCCCTCCCCCTCACATTTGTCCTGATTTTTAGAAAGTATTAGTCCTAAAACATGCTGAAATGGCTTTTGACAGTGAGTAATGCAAAGAGATATCCAAACTTCCCTCAGTAGAAACATTTGACTCAACTCAATGGAGCCAGTCATAATTCCATGTTCACCTTTCTGTTCTGGAACTGTGTGCAGATTAGCACATATGTTATTATAAAATGCCTCATTTGAACATTTGAACATTTGAAAAAATGTTTTATACAGAAAGCAACAGTATAGTTTAATGCCATCCATTACTTCGAATGTTAACCCTTTTCACCTGGGGTAGACATAACGCCAAAAAACCCCATATATTTCCAAACATTTGAATTAGTAAAGGCAGACCCAACTTCAGTCCATGATTGGGACTAGAACACCTGCAAACCAACGTACTTTGTCCTCCACTCTTTCTATAAATATACCCTTTATTCTGCCCTCTTGTGAGGGGGTTTCTATTCTATGATCTTCTTCAAGATGTTACCTGGTCATTGTAGCCCATGAGGGCCCGCCGAGTGTTCTTGGCCCCCAGGAAGCGGTTGACCAGCATGGTCCAGCCCATGGAGAAGTGGAAGCTGATGTCCTCCTGGAAGTCGCTGCACAGCCTGTCACAGGCCAGGTCATAGCTGAGGCTAAAGCACTGCCGGGGAACCAGCTTGTCTACCTGCTCTCTGACTGGGGGGGGCAGCAGAGGCTTCAGACCATCTGCACACACACACACACAAATCAAGATCATTTTTCAAATTAGCACAGATTTCAGTGACAGCGGCAACATTTAGGGTGGGTGATGTGACCTGAAATGTATATCACACAGGGTTCCTGCAGGTTTCGCCAACTCAAATGTAAGACCTTTTTAAGACCACTTTGAATAGAATTTAAGACCTATTTCACGGCAAGAAAGTATGAAGGAAAATTGCTATGAAAGAAGAAATACGTCCCATAATTACTTACAAAGTAAATTAATTCATGTTCAACATAAGAACCATGACTGAACATAACAGCATAACAGTACAGAACTGTGTTAGCGTGTTAGACAAAAAGTGTGTATGTGCGTGTGTCTCTGTGTGTGCTTGTGTGTGTGTGTGTGTGTGTGTGTGTGTGTGTGTGTGTGTGTGTGTGTGTGTGTGTGTGTGTGTGTGCTGTGCAATTAATCGTATTTTAATCACAATTACGATTTTGGCCTGCCACAATGACGAAAACAACATAATCGAAAAAAACGATTATTTAGCTTTGCTAGGTTGTGACTAGTGCACTACAACATATTTGATCTAATTCATTTTAGTCTAATTTATTTTTATTTATCATATTTATATATGTTTAGTAGCTTGTGGAAGTGCGCTCCAAAATATTTGTCGATCTTGTTTATTGGTATTTATTATTTTGATATTATTTATTTAAATGTATCATTGTATCAGCTGTAGTGGAGTTTCCATAGAAAGACTCATAAGCATAGCCGTGTTATAGTGAGTGAGTGAGTGAGTGAGTGAGTGAGTGAGTGAGTGAGTGAGTGTGTGTGTGTGTGTGTGAGTGACAAGAGCTATATTCAGAGCTCTGCTGCCTTGGCTACAATCTTTCATCGTTGCTGTTGTATGATTGGTGTTTAACTACGGTATTTAGCGTCTACAGCACCTCCGCTTTTAGGGTTGACGTCGCCTGGAGGTCCCCCGGTGTTGTTGCGGGAGTTGCTGCACTAGCTAACGCTGCACTAGCTAACGCTGCACTAGCTAACGCTGCACTAGCTAACGCTACATTAGCAAAACAAACGCTAATTTTGCAAAAGGTGCAGCGGGCTTCAAACACGTTCCCCTCCACTGGTTTCAACCAAGCACTAAATTCAATGTTTTCCAACCAAATACTGTTGAACTTACACTTCCCCATATTTATTTGTAAGTAGATTAGAAGATACATGAGTTTCTGACTGCCGCTAGCTGAAGCTTGGTTGCTAGGTTACTAGCTGGGTGTTCTCCGATAAGGGGCCGGGGGACACAAAGTTAGTGATTACTGGTTCCATGTTGATTTATTTCAATACAAATTGTTGGGGGGAACTGAAAGGCTATTACCGTACTGGTTACTTTGCAGCCCGGACATTTACCCCAAAACACATTTAGACGCTATCGCAACACAGAAGTACCTTTCAAATCCCATCATTTTTAAAGGGCCCATGTCATGGCCATTTCCACTGATCATAATTCCATTGTTGAGGTATACTAAAATAGATTTATACTGTGCAATTTTCCAAACTCACATTGGTTTCGCATACAGCATCTCTGTAAAGTATGTGTATTCACCGGTATTCACTCTCTGCCCTAAACGGCTTGTTTGAGCTCCTGCCCCTCCCCTCCCTGTGAGCACAGTGTGCTCCGATTGGTCAGCTCGGCCACTCTGTTCTGATTAGTCAACCACCAGAGAGGCTCCGCCCATGTCTAACACAGTGTTTTTTCGGCTCTGAGCGGAGCATCAGTTTTTGTATAAGCTAATCTACGTTTGATAGTTGTTCAGTGTAATATGCCAACCTACTATGAACAAAAGCTAGTGGTTCATATTAGGCTAGCAATAACGTGTTTACAATTGCAATCTTATACGGTAGTCTGCTACGTGTCGGTCATTCTTTTTAGCTTGCATAAAAACAATGTTTTTCCTAGCATGTCTAGCTATAGGTAGCCTTGTTGTTTAGCTTTGTAGCATACATGCTAGGAAAGCCAACTATAATGTAATTAAGTTTCGCGACTGACCGTACAGTAAATCACCCGGAGTATACTGTATATGAGTATTTCGTGTGTGAATGCAGACATTCTCGTGCTATGAGAAACATGTAAGGCCATCTGCTGACATTGTAGTTGATATATGTAAACGCTAGCAACTTCGTTAGCCCAGTTAGCACTGTGTCAATGGCTTGTTCTGTGTAATAAAACCACTATGAACAAAAGCTAGTGGTTCATATTAGGCTAGGAAGAACGTGTTTACAATTGCAATCTTATACGGGTAGTCTACTACGTTAGGTCATTCATTGTAGCTGGCATGAAAACAATGTTTTCGCCTAGCATGTCTACCTCTCGGTAGCGTCGTTGTTTATCTCGGTAGCATACACGCTATGAACGGTAGCTCGGTTAGGAACGCCAACTATAATGTACTGACCGTACGGTAAATCACCCGGAGTATACTGTCTATGAGTATTTCGTGTGTGAATGCAGACATTCTCCTGCTATGAGAAACATGTAAGGCCATCTGCTGACATTGTAGTTGATATATGTAAACGCTAGCAACTTCGTTAGCCCAGTTAGCACTGTTTTGAACTGAACCTGAGATTCCAACAGTATATATGCTTGGCTGGCAGAGGGTGCGTCATAGCTCTGGGCGTGGCTACTGGGTATCCAGATGCCCAGGAAGAACATGAGAAATCTCCAACGAGGCGTTTTGGGGAGGTCTTTTCTGTGTTAGAGTTTTACTCCCTACAGGGTGTACATTGAGGGTTTTTGACTCTGCAGACCGTTTACATGCATAAAAACCTTCATAACACACAAGTGGACGGGTAATAACCGGAAAAGCATGACATGGGCCCTTTAAGACCTTCTAAATCATATTTAAGACCTTTCTTGTTTCTTTGGTCATATTTAAGACCTTTTTAAGGCCTTACAGAGCCCCTCCTCCAACACACACGAATGCACACATGACCAATGAGGGCACGAGATAAGTTTGTGCACGAGATGGAAGGCTGACGGGCAGGTAGGCCATCCAGTTATTTTAGCCGGGCCGATGAGCCAACAGCACCACGGCTTCCACAGACATTTTTTAATGTATTTATTGTCAAAGCATTTAATATATTCATTGCTATCGGGATGTTAAGAGCATTTCATGGAATATAACAAAAAGTGTTTCTGAAGCGAATTACCTACAACTTTACTCTAAGCCTCCAGCAGACATCCTGCTGAATACACAGACACACAGCTGCGACTGTATACGGAGACGATAGGTTGGGACGTGTCACTTGTGCCGGAGACGATAGGTTGGGACGTGTCACTTGTGCCGGAGACGATAGGTTGGGACGTGTCACGTGTGCCGGAGAATATAGGTTGGGACGTGTCACGTGTGACGGAGACGATAGGTTGGGACGTGTCACGTCGGCCGGATATCGCCAATGACGTTATAGGAGCGACAATTCTGGATCTGCTTATTAGCACCCCCCATTTCTTTTTCTTTTTTAGAGATGTGGGTAAGGAGGAAAAGAGAGAGGGTTTTGTTTTCTGACACTTTGTGAGTACACATATTTATGTATAAAAGACATCAAAAAGTGCATTTTGCATAATAGGTCCCCTTTAAAATACCTAAGTAGCTAGCTTCTCATAAAGAAAATAACCTTTTCTCAGTTTGTTAACGCAGGCGAACAAAATAGTATGTGTTTTTGTTTTGAAGTGCAGTGTTTTGTTTGGAGATGGCGTTAAAGCTTGCTTGGGACCATGGCACTGTTGGATTTTATTTGCAGCAACTAAATAATATTTGTGGACCGATTAAGTGAAATTTCCCACGGAGCACCTGATGATCTCTCACAGCAAAGTGGTTGAAAATGACTGGTCTACAGAAACAGACAGTTTGGAAATGATCTGTGACGGCTGGCATTAGCTGTTTGATAAAACCTCACAGCAGTGAGCCCAAACACAGCTCAGCAAGAGAGCGGCCGGGCACACACCTGCACACCTGTAACATGCGGCAACTCTCTAATGCCCCTTTCACACCAACGCGTTTTCAGCGCCGGCTCGGAGCTAGAGCCTGAAAAGTACAGTTTTTTCCTCTTCACACCGCAGCGGCGCCGCCTCTTAGCTCCGGAATCCGGTTCGTTTCCAGCTCCAAAAAATTGTCGGTCTAGAAGCAAGACTCCGGAGCTAAGAGGCGGCGTCTCTTACGTCTCTCTCACGTCGAGGCGTGCAGGAAACTAAACCCACCTCCCCTGAACATGGGTCGACTGAAGAGTCTCGTCATGCCTGCCTACAAGAAGTAGCGCTGAGCAAAGTGACTAGAAGGCAACCACACACTTGTAAAAAAAAAAACACACTTTATAAAGTCAGGCAACACTAACCAGGCTTCGTGTGATTCTGTTTATTTGTACCTTACTTTGACCATCCGTTCGCTGTTATTGATCATTGTGGAGAGCAGGCAGACGTTTTGTTTGTTATTATAGCAGCTATCGGATGGAATCAATACATGGGCTGCACAGGTTGTCATGTCCGACTATCACAAGTAGAATCATAATGAAAAATACGCCGGTAAAATGTGCCTGTAGAAAACGGCTTAGCAAGTAGTCAGTTTAGCTTCGGTTGCTATGCTAACATCACCCATGTTATACCAGAGAAACTTTCATAACAGCGTTGTGATGCCAAACAGCGTCAATTCAGACTGACACACATTCACTTAAGGGGAACTGGGGATATGTATCAGCTGCTTGTGTGACAGTCAGACAGTGAATACTTTAGAGCCGTGTGAGCTAACCCGGAGCTAACGGGAGAATAAACTCCCGTGGAAGAGCAGCCAGCACTGCAGCGGTCGCTAAATGCCGCTGAAACACATTAATAAACAATGAACCACGGCACTCTGGAGAAAAGTATAAGGTTGGAGAAGTCGTTATTTAATTTAATCTGGCTTCGTATGATTAAAAGCAACGCGATCATCGACCCGACGCAGTCCCCCGTTGTTGTTGTGAGCTCCGTTGGGGAGAAAATCAGCGATGTAAACGGTGACGTCATGACGCAGCAGTGGCAGCACCAGTCGGGCTCTGGGCGGTGTGAACAGAGCGGGAGCAGAGCGGGAGCAGAAAAGGGAAACCGGAGCTGAACCAGAAAAGCGCTAGAATGGGAAAAGCGCTGATGTGAAAGCCGCATAAGTGGCATTATGCTAACAGTACATTGAAGCTGATTGGAGCCTGTGCACACAGAACAGTAGTGTCAGGTGTGAACATGAGCGGTACCAATCATGTCGGTCTGTGTGGCCTGCAGGGCGCTGGTGATGGAGGTGGAGCATCTCCCCGACATGTTGCTGCCCAGACCCTCCTCTACGTGACGGTGCAGCTCCTACAACAAAAACAAACAAACAAACAGAGGCAGTAAAGCAAACTGCTGGACCACTGAGCCATAACAATGATTATAGAATGTCCATCACAGACATCATCTGTTTCACCAATGACCACCATCACCCACATCCATGCCGGGAACTGTTAGGGGCATGTTTGGTTATTAGCACATATCAAATATAATTATTAATATCAATCAAATGATTAGTATAATACACGTTGATAATAATGGGAAACCAACCAAGAACTAGGGAATAAGTGGTCCAACCACTGACTGTCACAATCAAAGCCGTTATCATACATACCAGACCTTTCTTTAACTTTGGCAATACTTATTCCCTCAATAGCATTCCAATCAATAAACAACAATTTACTACATTAAACAAGCATATGGATAACAATCAAACATGTGGTGTGTATGAATGTGTGTGAGGAGGAAGAGCAATGAAGCAAGATGGCATACAAACACACCTAGTGTTCCTGGTGTGAACAAATATCTGGAGCTGTTGGAGGGTCTGACACGGACCTACAGCCAATCTGATGCAAGACTAAACCGGGTCAGCTGAGCTCTAGGGTGGCCCAGCCCTCAGAGACTGAGGCATAGAAAGGATCATGTCCAACAGTGAGTAAAATGAGCCAGTGATAGGGCTTTGGTGATGTAGGGCCCCGGCCCAGAGCCCACCTCAACAAGCAGTGCTGACGAAGAGCAACAGATCATCACAAAGAACGGCTGAAAGATAAACGCTGACATGCACATACATCCTGAACATGGGGGGACCAACATCTGCTGTGTGTCCGGCGTGAACGCACTATTACACAGGCAACTGGTTATTGATTTGCAAGACCCACACATTATCTGTCAAATGTCAGAACATTACATCATGGACAGTATGGAATCTGTGTACACATGTGAAAACTTAACACATCTGATTGTGCAGCGAAAAAGGAAAGGGTATAGACCAGGGGTGCCCAACCTTGCCAGTCTGCCGAGATCTACCAGTCCAAATAGAGAGGGGGGGGGGGCTGGGGTGCTAGCGAACTGTCAACTGGGGGGAGCCTCGCTGCGGGGAAACGGCAGACCTCTGTCGGTGCAACTTCAATGATGCCTTTTAAAAACATAAAAAATGAAGGGCGGTGACGGCCGTCAGCGAATCGAGCCGGCCCTTGACGACCGGCTGTTCTGTGATTCTCCAGATTCTCCAGATTCTACAGATGGCCAGTCCGCGGAGGGTGGAAAATACATACCAGTGTTCCCACGGGAAACAAAACTTAAAATATGAAATGAAACAATCTCATCTCTTAAAATTCACAACTTATTATTAATTAAACATTCACAAACTTATAATTATGTATTCACATGTTTAACTCTGTTACACATGCATGCAACGAACAGAAGAGCGTAGGGCAGAATTAGGAGAGAATCCCGTCTCGTAGCGTTTGTGCACCGTTTTGAAATGCTGCTCTAAATTACCCTTCTTCGGTAAAGCCACGCTCGCATTGCAGATGAGACAGATGGACTTTGAATTGGAATAAACAACAAAATAATCATCCTCCCACTCGGAGTGAAAATGATATATTTTGGGCTTTTTTTGCTTCTGCCCTAATTGTGGTCTTGTGTGTGTGCGGACTGTCACTCCTGTTGCCACGGACAACGTCAGCTAACTAGTGCCCACTGCCCACCAGCCACGCCCCGACACATGGGGTCACGCCAATCACAAAGCTTTGGTGCGTTCAAGTGCATTATTCTGGCACAGGAAGATTATGTTATAGGACATTAACGATAAAACAGAATATTGTTGTTCTATTTTTAGACACATCTCGCGATCGACTGGGAATCTCCCCGCGATCCACTGGTCGATCGCGATCCACTGGTTGGGCACCCCTGGTATAGACCAAAGACTTTGGCCTGCCCTGTGCAGCTGACATTAAGGACAGAAACCCTGTGTGGTGTGTGTACTCACGTTCTTATAGACCTTGAGCACCACTGATGATGGGTGGAAGTCCATGTGGAAGTCCTCCACGAGCACATTGAGCTTCCTGATCTCCTCTGACATCGCATTGGACACCTGAACATGAGCAAACAGCGGGGGTGAAAACACTACCTCTGTTATAACCCACAGAACACCAGCGTCTGCCAACACTTACTTTGGGACACATGATAAACAAACAAAAACAACATTTTAAATTGCAGTTTTGTTTGGACGAATTCAGAGGGGTACCTTTCTCCAGGCTCTGTGTAAAATCATAGCAGTTTCTGCTGAATGGGGTATGACTGGAAAGCAGAGACTCTAATGTATCTGATGAGCTCCATTGTATTTATGTGTGATGATCTTAGTTGACATAGTAGCTAATCCACTGTAGTATAAGTTGATCTTGCTGTCGAAATCCAGCTTTTGGATAATCACAGCCTGATGAAACATTACATTCAGGTTTTATTTATGATTTATGACTAGAAAATCTAATCAGTGCTGGGCTGCATCACAAATTAGTCTTCAGATTTTCAGCTTAAACTTTTGAGGCATATACTGTTGACTGTTTTTATGGGACCATGAAATGCCCCTTTCCCACACCCGTCCCCTTTTTAAAAGAGCGGGGGAGTGTGAGAGGTTAAAGGCCTGCTGGTCCCCCTCAGCTGCTGGGAAGGCAGGTATGTGATGTCATCGTGTTCATGTTCACCTGTCTCTCCACCTCCTCAGTGATCTTCTTGATTTTGGCCTTACAGTCCATGGTTAACAAGTCCAACTGCTTGTCTATGAACTCCAGCCGGTCCTGGCGGTCGTCTTTGGTCTCAATGCAGTAGATCCTACCAACACACACAAACCACCAGGCGCTGCTCATTACCACTGTTCATTCTGTTGGTGCTTATGTTGAATAAAAAACATTTATCTGATTTATTCACCCATGATCATATGCGTTTCCAATCTTTGGTTCACATGATCCATACAATTGAACAACCCGCTTTGAATACCTGACTTACCTCTGCTCTTGCGCAGCCACGTGAACAGAATCCATAATGCGGCGCAGGGATTCAGAGATCTGCTTGGCCCTCACAGTGTGCTGCTCAAACTTTGTCTTCACGGCTGACTGAGAGATGCACTCCTACACACAACAAGACACACGTTGATGTTAAAAAAAGGAGAAAAAAAAAGACTATGACACCACTGGTATACAACAACATTTATCTGCTAATATTAGTAATATTACTACTGGCTGCTACTCCTAGTTAGTCCATCCATTACGGCAACAGGAATCTTAAGCAACTATGTGCAATAATAATTGTACTAATGTACCACCACACTTCAGTCTACAGTGCATCTCTTGTACTTCTGTACATTTGAATAATTATTATTTTAAATACTATGTGCATGTTCTATTTTCTTCGTCTCTATAATACTTTGCTGTAACAACGTACATTTCTCCTTTGTGGGTCAAATAGAGGAATTCTGAGTCTAATCAACTCAGCACAGTGGATGGCTGCCTGACTCACAGGTGACTTCATTATTCTGAAATTAACTTTTGGTATTTGGACTATTTGGTTACTTAACACAATGGATAACACGTGTGTCATTAAATAAAAGCTTGAGTTACAGACAGTTATTTTGAATGGAGCACATACATTAATTGGTTTTGTTTTGCCATCTTATCCAAGTCATCTCTGTTGTCCAGGACAGAGAAAGGCCCAGAATGTGTTAAGCCTAGCTTAAGGCAAATACTTAAAGCAGGGGGGAACTTCCAGCCTCCTGTCATCAATAACGGAGTGTCACTGAAGTCAAAGTAATTACATATAAATGTATCCGAGTATTCACACGTATCGTGAATTGAAATCTATTCCTTGTTACATCCATGAGGATCTTACCTCGAATCTCCTCTCAAAGTTCTGGAACTCAAACATTCTGGCTTGAAATCCTTCTGCAAGAGCCCCCCCTGAAACATAACAAGAAATGCAGTGCTGTAAAAAACATCTACACAGAATAGATGTCTCTCCAGACAGGACCACTGTGGTCTGGTTCAGCAGGGATGTTTATTTTAACTCACGCAGGTAGTCAGAGTTGAAGGAAAATGTTTTTGGTGAGAATTTGCCGATACAGCCTTTTCAATATTTAAAATTGAAAACATATTTCAACCAAATATTAGGAATTACAGTATTTTCAACTGACATTATGAAAGGAGAAACTTAAAGATGTCCAACTGAAAGAGATTTGACCAAAAACATGGAACATTGCGTTTCATTTCATTTAGCTGTTGCTTTTATCCAAAGCGACTTACAATGATCCAAGAGGAAACAAATTCAGAACAGCATGAATCCTGCGAGCAGTTTTTAAGTGCTAAATACAGAAATTAGGTGTGGTGCAAACAGCTGGGCTTCCAGTCTGCAAAACAGAGGACAGCCCAACATCTGAGGTTCATCCCAATTGATTATATGACCTCCTTCTTTCCCTCACTTGCGTCTCACCCTCGCGTCTCTCTTCTTCGCGTCTCACGTCTCACAGGGGCAGCACTAAGAGACAGAGGAGTCCTCGGGTACGAGTTGGGATATCTTTGTTCACTCCAGCCTCCCCTTAATTGTCACCTGGGATTTAGTTTTCACATGTTTATTGAAATGAGTTCATCCATCTCTTTTACTATAGTTTTCAATTTATTATTTTCGGTCCTGTATTTGTTTTTCCAGGTATACAATTGAAGTTCTAATAATAATCATAACAATAATATTAATTGGTGGATTAATTTCAGTATGGTATTTTAGCTTGTTTCAGATGAACTTTTGCATTGGGATTTTTTAGGTACGTTATCTGTATTATATATATCCTAAATGTTTGACGTTCTGTAGGTTTTATCCACAAATGCATAAAAACTTAAGTTATTATTTTATAATCAAACCATTATTATTACATTTGTAAGTATATTTCATACACTTTAATGTTTTTATAGAGTATGATCTCCTCATTCATTTAAGAGATTTATATATTTTAGTCTTATTGAAGCACTTTAAACATTTCATGACTCTGATCTTCCTTTAACGGTCAGATCAGCTGCAGTGAGCAGACGGCTGTGCAGCTGGGGGCGGAGCTTTGATTCAGAACAGCTGCAGTGAGCAGACGGCTGTGCAGCTGGGGGCGGAGCTTTGATTCAGAACAGCTGCAGTGAGCAGACGGCTGTGCAGCTGGGGGCGGAGCTTTGATTCAGATCAGCTGCAGTGAGCAGACGGCTGTGCAGCTGGGGGCGGAGCTTTGATTCAGAACAGCTGCAGTGAGCAGACGGCTGTGCAGCTGGGGGCGGAGCTTTGATTCAGAACAGCTGCAGTGAGCAGAGGCTGTGCAGCTGGGGGCGGAGCTTTGATGCACAAGTAGCGATAACACTTCCGCGTAGTCTGCACTCGTGTATCCTTCCTCGTCTCCTCTGGAAGCCTCCTCCCTCCTCTCTCCTCGACTCCTCAGCGTGTATTTAAGTGATTGGGACCAGGGGCGTCGCCTGGACCTGAAAACATTGGGGGCTTAGCCCACAGTGGCGGCGGCACTACAGTGGCATTTTTTACTGCAACACTCCCCACACGCACACACAGTACACCCGCGACTGTTACAATGAAGGCTCGATAATCAGCTCACGGCATATAGGCAGGGGTAAAGTGGTATTTTTTATGAGTGGGGGGCTCACCTCCTCTAGGGGGGTCCGGGCGGATGCTCCCCCGGGAATATTTTTTTTTAAATATTGAAGTTAAATGCATCAATCTGGTGCACTTTGAGAGCAAAATGAAGAGATCTATGGATACCTCTCTCTCAACACCCATATGAAGCAGAACTGTAAACAGATGTACTTTTTCTTTATGGATATTTTACTAATCACTCCCCTTTTAAACTCTATTCTTGTTTTACTGCCATATAGTATTTCATAACTGTTTTTCCTTTATTCTCTTTTTTTTACATCTATAATGATCATATGAAGGTGTGCCGCGGAAATAATCTTTTGAATAATTTGTGACCAAACCGTTTGAGACCCACTGAGATAACTTAGACTAAAGTTAACTATCTAAACACTCAGAGAGTCCTTTAGCTCACCTGAGTCTCTCAGTCTGAGAGGAGAGGACTCTCCTCCAGCTTGTTGTGGAACAAACAGCTCCTTATGTCCGTTAGTGCAGCTAGCTAACCAGATGCTAACAACACGGTCCATGCTGACACCGGTCCCTCCCTCCCCCTCTCTCCCTCTCTCTCTCTCTATCACACTAAATGCGCTATTGCCACACACACACAGAGCCGAGCTTGAATGACACAAGCACACGTTTATTTCCATGCAACTCTCTGATTGGTCTGGTGTCATGCCTCTGTTGCATTCACTGAACACGGGAAATTACAGTGCTGCCGTCCTCTCTTGTGTCATGATGAGGTTCACGTAAAGCACGCTTAATGTATTATATTAATTGAGGGAGAATTGTCCGGGGCTACAGAAAAAACATTCGGGGCTAAAGCCCCGGATGCCCAGGCCAGGCGACGCCACTGATTGGGACGTCCTTCAACATGGCGTGTCTCGATCGATTTCCGGGTCAAGTCACCGTGGAGAGAGGAGTCGAGGAGGGACATTGGGATGAACCTCTGATGAACAATCATCTTGTCATATCACCTAGTACAAGCTTTGTCAGATTGCACACTGAATAGCCCCCCCACCTGCTTCAGGCATCCCTTGAGCCTTCTGCACACGGGCCTGCAGGACTTCCTTTGCAGAGACGAAGAAGATGCGGTCGCTGGCCTGGGCCCTGTCCACCACACCCAGCTCCTCCACCAGAAAATTGCTGCAGCGGTCCATATGCTGTCTGCGGACCTGACAACATAATACACTTTTTATTATTTATTTATGAATACATTATTGAAATGATAGAATGGAACCACTGAGCGTCTGAGATGCTGGCATGCACTTTCGTTTGTGGGAAAATGTGGTCCATTCAAAAACCTGTGAATGGACTACACATACAATTTATTTGGGAGTGTGGAGTTTTTTCCCAACCACAGAGATATCCAAATGTAAGTAAATAAAACCTAACTGTAGTAACAACGTGGCTAAATAACACTGGGGGGCACATGTGCCCCTTTTCCACCAAACCGGTTCCAGGGTCGGTTCCGGGCTAAAGCCTGATTTGTCTGGTTCTTCCCGTTTCCACCACAGCGGAGCCGGCTCCAAGCACCGAAAACCGGTTCTTAGCTGTCCCCACTCGGCTACCCGGCAAGAACCAAGAACCAAATACGTCACGCCTACGTCGGAGGGGGGCGAGATTAACCTGAGCAATAACAGTTCATGGCGAGTACGACAAATGAAAGTCGTAACAAGCAGTAGCGCCGAGCAAAGTGACTAGAAGGCAACCACACACTTGTAAAAAAACACACACTTTATAAAGTCAGGCAACACTAACCAGGCTTCGTGTGATTCTGTTTATTTGTACCTTACTTTGACCATCCGTTCACTGTTATTGATTACAGAGCCTTCTCCGTTGCTGCACCCACCCTCTGGAACTCACTACCCCAATCCATCAGAGACTCTTCCTCCCTCACCGCATCCAAAACATCACTCAAAACCCACCTGTTCAACACTGCATTCAACCACTGACCATCTCCCCCCCTCTATTTTCTGTTTTTGTTTATCTCCTTTGGTATTTTTCTTAGTTTTGTTGTTTTTTATTCTCTGTCAAAGCGTCTTGAGTTTCTAGAAAAGCGCTATACAAGTCTCATGTATTATTATTATTATTATTATTATTGTAGAGAGCAGGCAGACGTTTTCCTGTTATTTTTTATTATAGCAGCTGTTGTACATTAATCATTGTGGGTTTTTTTGTTTGGGGATGACATTAACGTTTTTTTTTACCCCCCTTTGTCTATAGGTTACTTAATTATTTCCTTTTACTGCTTCAACAACTTTGTTTGGGATAAATTAAGGTGAATATTATCCTTTCTGTTAACCTGTTAATTTATAATTCATAAATACTAAAGACTTATAGAAAAATAGGACAAGACAAAGAACCTGTGATGGCCATGGCAAATCTCTATCCTGGTGAAAAGAAGTTTAAAAAATATTGTATTTATCAATAATACTTAATAATGCATAATTCCACAGCGAGGTTCTTGTTAACTTTTACAGAGGAGCAATATATCCTGAGTGGAAACATGACAAACTGGCACAGGATGAGCCCAGGACAGGAGGCTCTGCGGTCAGTTTAAACTGCCCCCTACATCATGGAACCAATCTACTGAGCATCAGCGATATCGATATCCAAAAGATATTAAAAGACAAAACTTGCCTGTGACCCTGCTGCAGTCTGAAAAAATATACTCAAGTACCAGCTGTTCTACAACCAGACTACAGGGCAGCCTGGGTCTTAAAGGCACTCACACTAGCTTTTATTCACCGTCGTTTTAATATTGCAGTAGTTTTTGCCGATATAATATATTTTAATGTAGCATTAAAGGTCCCATGCCATGGCAATTTCTACTGATCATAATTCCATTGTTGAGGTATACTAAAATAAATGTATATGGTGCAATTTTCCAAACTCGGATTGGTTTCTCATACAGCATCTCTGTATAGTATGTGTATTCACTCTCTGTCCTAAACGGCTTGTTGGAGCTCCTGCGTCCCCTCCCTGTGAGCCCAGTGGCTGTCTGTGAGACAGCAAGACACCGCAGAACTCAGCCTGGGCACACACACACCCGCAGCCTGGCTGGGAGTTTGTGTGTGTGCTCAGGCTGAGTTCCGCGGTGTCTCGCTGTCTCACCGACCCCACACCAGTGAGCCAGCTCACAGTGTCCCGCCCCTCGCAGCAGCGGGCCTCGCAACGTCCCGCCGAGTGTGTGTGTGTGAGGAAGTCCGCGGATTGGTCCAAACGTAATGGCTCCGCGGACGTAACGTAACGGCACTATACCCGATATACGTCACTATACCCAAGAAGTAAACAATGGAAAAAGAGAAATCTCCAACGAGGCGTTCTGGGGCAGCATAGACCGGTATTTTCTGTGTTAAGAGTTTTACTCGCTACAGGGTGTACTTTGAGGGTTTGTGACTCTACACACCGTTTACATGCAGAAAAACCTTCATAACACACAAGGGGACGGGTAATAACCAGAAAAGCATGACATGGGACCTTTAAGCTGCCTTCACATGCGGTCAAAAGGCTCTGTCGAAGAATAAGTGAGTAACTCAGCCTTGATACAATTCACGTAGACATCCCTTTTACTCCTACCAGTGGATCATGCAAACGCCACAAAAAATGTAAATGATGGCATGCTAAAAGTAAAGCGGACTGACCTCCTCCATGTATTCAGGTTCTGAGGCGGAGGCGTCCCAGCGGTTGTTGAGGATGAAAATGTTGGGACTGGAGAGCCGCTCATTGACTTTGTGAAAGAAGGACTTCTCCTGTAGGACGACAGCATTTAAAAAAAAAGACTACTTGTTAGAGAGAATAATCCTGAGGAGCTTCGTGTGACTAGAACAAGAGAAGCTGGTTCAGTGCACTTTCAATCATGCTGAGCACAGCTTCGTTAACTGTGGGGATAACCCCTTTCACTTTGTCAGCTGGTGTCAATCAGGCATTGGAACTAGAGGATTGTGATCATCAACTGATACACTGAACACTCCCTCTTGTCTCTCTAATAACAGCTGCAATTTAATTTTTTGGAACAATAACAAAGAGCTCATAGTTGCCATCATTCTGAACGCTGCTGCCTGCTCCACCAATCACATCGCATAAACACAGCATCACAGTGAAATTACCGTTTGTATTGAAAATATTAACAATGGGATTCCTACATTTCCTTGTAACAGTGCCTGAACAAACTACGCTTAGTTTGCTCGGATGCAAAACTCAAACTCATTTCCAAAAACGGGGGTACAACGGAGCTGATCCAGATTTGCTGAGAACTTGACGACATATCGGAAATGTGCGATTTGTTTTTGAAGTAATATTGTCTGTGTTTACATTAGCAAGCATCGCTAACACTCAGAGCTAACCTGTACTGGAGAGAGTATGTGTAAAGAAGCCGGATATAAAAAGGTACTGTCCGTGGGGTAAACCCGCGAGAGAGAAAGCGTTTGAGCTCCATACTGTTTCAGAAATAATGCTTGATGCTGTTTGGAACATAATATGGCATTTCATTACGGCAGACCTGGGGATACAGGAGCCTCGTCTCAATACCCCTCCTCGATTCCTCCTTTCCTCACTCGCGTCCCTTCCTTGCGTCTTAGCTCCGCCTCCGTAAGATGCGAGCGAGAGACACGAGGAGGTGACGCGAGGACAGAGGAGTCCTCAGGTATTAATTGGGATGTCCTCGTTCACTCAAACGTCACTCTTAAACGACGTCTGTTAATGATGACATGTGCACAGCTGTATCCCCTCTCATTGGGTTTAACTGAATAACCTTTAGAACCGGCCCATTTGTTGTTAAATATGTATTTAAATTATTAATCTTTCTCTTGTTAGTCAAGGAATTCAATGTATGATGGTTGGTCCTGCTTTTGTGTTCCGTTTTGGTGTAAAATGTACATTTCAATAAAATTATAATTATAATAATGTGAAAGCCTTTACTCTGAACATGTGTGTCCTGTAGATCCCCACATTTACCACAAACCCACATTCAGGACTGTGCATTTTAAATAATTTAACTACTCAATATTTTAACACAAAACAAAACAAATAATTTTTATTTATCAAGATCTAGCCATTTATGAAATAGCTTTCTTAATAGCTATGTTTTAGTGACGTTCAAGATCATTAAACATGACTTCAATTGTTAGTATAACCTTAAGAAATGAATTGCACATAATAATTCCCACGGAGCTGTGAGCACTTATACATTTATGTGACGCTTTCCCACTCATTCTTCCAGTTCTCCGTTTTCCTGTGTTGAAATCGACCAGCTGTGAAGGTGGGGGCGGGGCTTTTATATGCGAGTAGTGAAAACACTTCCGCGTAGTCTGCTCTCGTGTATCCTCCCTTTCGTCTCCTCCCGCACCCCTCCTCCCTCACCCCTCCTCGACTCCTCCGTGTGCATTTCAGCTATTGGGACGTCCTTCAAAATGGCGTGTCTTGATCGATTTCCGGGTCAAGTCCCGGAGGAGGGGAAGAGAGGAGTCGAGGAGGGGTATTGAGATGAGGCTAGGGTGTCTAACCCCTCTCATCATGAGACATGAAGATCACAGGCTAATGAAATGGCCAAGCTAATGGCGTAGCTAGGAGATAAACGGAATATCTGGAGTTTAATTTGCTTTATGGAAACATGCAGCAGGATATACCTGCTAACAACGTTTCCATTGTTGGCCTCTGGACTGCTCGAGAGCTTCACGATGTCTTCAACCTGAGCCTGAGTCTGTTTTAATTGTTGTGTTTTTGTATCTTTACTTGACATTTGCAGCTGTAATGTCTCACCGTCTGCATCAGTGTGGACTCAGAGTTCGCCACCAGAACAAACACATCAGCATCCTGGCAGAACTTATCGATCCAGCTGTCCAGTTCAGTGGTTACATCTATACCTGGGCTGGAGGGGAATCAGAAAGTCAGAACATCAATAAAGCTAATGTGACAAACTGTAAATGTAAATAAGTGTTGTGTTAATTAAATAGTGTAACTGATGTCTGACCTGTCCACTAACACCAGGTCATCCCTGAGCAGAGCACACTTGGCTTTAGGCCACATGACACACACCAGGCTGCCAGCGTCCAGGTCCTCATCCTGGTGGAGGGCGTGGGCCAGCTGGTTCACCGTCTACACACACACAATCATACACTGTATAGAAAAGACTAGGGACAGGACAGTTTGACTTTGTGACACACACACACACACACACACACACACACACACACACACACAAACACACACACACACACACACACACACACACACACACACACACACACACACACACACACACACACACACACACACACACACACACACACACACACACACACACACACACACACACACACACACACACACACACACACACACACACACACACACACACACACACACACACACACACACACACACACACACACACACACACACACACACACACACACACAACACACACACACCAACACCCACACACACACACACCACACACACACACACACACACACACACACACACACAAGTACCTTTATGCTCTTCCTGTCCTCAGAGCCTTCAGTGAGGAGGAAGGCCTCATTCCCATCTGTGCCCTCCACCCTCAGGAAGCAGTTGGTGGTGTGTCCTATTCCTGAAGGCAGCACCTTGTCACACAGCATGGCATTGATGACAGAGCTCTTCCCATTACTGGTCCTACAGAACCAAGGGTAAATTAATATCTGCTCCTTTAGAAGGTAACTGTATAGCAGGTTAAAGAAACTTTTGTAAAAGTTAAGTTTTTTTAAATGTGAGTTCATTTTAAGTTACTTAAAGGTGGGGTAGGTCATTTTGGAGAAACCAGCTCGAGTGCGCTAGCATTTGAAATTACACAACCGGAGAAAATCTGCCACTTCCTTACAGAGCCCCTCCTCCAACACACACGAACGCGCACATGACCAATGAGGGCACGAGATACGTTTGTGCACAGATGGAAGGCTGACAGGCAGGTAGGCCATCCAGTTATTTTAGCCGGGCCGGCTAAAATGATTGGTCGTACTTTTTACAGTACTATGGCTTCCACAGATGACATTTTTGTATGGATTTATTGTCAAAGCACTTAAGATATTCATTGCTATCGGGATGTTAAGAGCATTCCATGGAATATAACAAAAAGTGTTTCTGAAATAAATTACATACCCCACCTTTAAGGGCTGAAAGACCGTTCATATTTTTCTATAATAAAGATTCATTTGTTTCCCTGGCACAAAAGAGGGAATAAAAAAGAAAATACCAAACAGAAGAAGATGGGCAGTGGTATCGTTCAAGTTGTCAGGGTAAACATCAGCACTGGATAAGGCATTTGTAAATGGTGCATCTCACTTCAATATACATACCTCCCGAAGAAGACTACCTTCATATGTCTGCGTGCGAGCACCTCTCCAATCCCTGCCACCTTAGCCAGGTAACCCCGCACCTCCAGGACCTGCTCCTCCGTGGTGACCGGGTCCAGCTCCTCATTTTTGTAAGTGTCTAGCATGTGAAGGTCAAACACATATCAATCAATACAGCTGTAGTGGAGTTTCCATAGAAAGACTCATAAGCATAGCCGTGTTATAGTGTGTGTGTGTGTGTGTGTGTGTATGTGTATGTGTATGTGTATGTGTATGTGTGTGTGTGTGTGTGTGTGTGTGAAAAAGACTGAATAAAATGTTAAACCACATGCGAGGATATACAAAATCTTAAGACTGGGTGAAAAATTACAAGAATTTGCATTCTGCACTGGTGGATCGTAACCAGGTTGTTAGTAGAGCTTCTAATTTGTTTTAGGGGTCTCAAAACTGCCTTTGATATTCTTTGGATAAATAGAGTACCATCGAGAAAGGAAGTGCTCTCCTTGACGTAGGCCCCCAGCTGTTCAAAGATCCCGTTGATCTTCTTCTTTGCTGTGACAAAATGCTTGAGCGGTGATGCATTCACTTCCGCCATTAGTCTCTTATCCTTCTTGCCGTGGACTGCGTTGGTGTTGGGTCGTGGGAAAACCAGAGACATGGCACTGCACAGGGGAGAACACATTACACACATCCTGATGAGCAAATGTGTCTGACTCAAATCTGAAATCAGCTTGTAGTAAAAGAGATGAGACATTTCCAGCATCAACTTAAATCATTTCCTTTTCACTGTCCCAAGGCAAATATTTAAGGAACCATGCATCATCATGCTTTATAAGAGAGGCAACATATCTTTATCAACATTGCATTCTTTATGATTTGGTGGACCATTCACAGACAACAATATTTGAACATTTCTTTGCAAGCGATATTAGGCAAACTAAAGCTGTCAGGACATAGGACCAATGTCTTCTTTACGAATCAAGACTAGTCTATCAATTGCATTGCTGGGGGGAAAAAGGTATCATCAATCAAACTGGTCAAATATGTGGTATTTCCTGTTGGTATGGAAATCTTTGAAAGTTAAACCCTCCTCCCAAGTGCAATAAACAAGAAGGCCAGTTAAGGGAGGGAGCAGTCAGTGAGACTAAAGAGTGAATCAGAGGAATCAAATGTTATTTTCACTTTGTTTCACAGCGGTTACATTCTAAAGCACACATAAACACACCCACATATCCACTGAGGGCTATGTGTGGCATGATGGGCTAAAGTAGGGGGGCTTGGAAAGCCTTCAGACGTGTGTTTTACAGACACCTCTGGCCCGGAAAGTATTGCCCTCTTTCTCTAGGTATGGACGGGCTCTTAGCTCTACTGAAGAGCCTATCGTACTGCAGTAGTATTAAACGTTCAAGTGGACATGATTATATCATCTTATGGTTTGTGGACTACAGTTAGAAAGACCCAATGTTGCCATTTTGGCTGTCATTTTCAAAACCAGTGGGTGGAGAAAAGTACAAACAAATGCTGAAGACAATTTTAAGCAACAAAAAAAGGTCAAGCAGGGTTTCTCTGCAGATACAATCTATGGGCAGGGTGGCTGTAAATCATTTAAAATCTGACCATCAGAGGCACCTTCACAGTCCCCGCAGGGTTGTGGTTAGAGCTCTCTCAAGAATGTCACGCATCCTCATCTGAGGGGGTCGATATCTAGCCAGCCAACCGACCAACAAGGCTCTCAGACCACGCTTTCATTTGTCTGTAGCTCTCAAGTTGTTACTGCTTTGGCTAAAGGTTAGACTCGCTTCTCCATCAGTCTCCAATAGGAGCCAACACAGAGACCCCTGGAGGACCAGGCCATAAAGCTCGGCCCGCTGAAGAAATGGAGGCACAGGAGATACTGGAGGGAGACTGAGCCAGACAGACTGCTACCCACTGCTGCGGTTCAACAAGAGGTTGCTTAGAAACACAACAATGTTACTCCAGTAGTGTGGTATTGTAAGCCTGATGGACCAAATAAGAAAATATTGACAGGTACCAAATCTCAGGTCTGCAGAGACACACACTTGAAAATGTTACAATTAAGTTTCAAGAAGTGTAAATACACATGAGGAAGTTTTAAGATGAAAACCGAAGATCACCTAAACCAGACAAAACCATGGTAATGATCACTCACAAGCTAGCTACATCCTATTGCATACCCTGCTTCATTGTCCATTTCAAAGTGGACCATATTATACAAAACAAACAATATTCTGTATTAAAAGACTAGAAACAAGTGGTTGAGACCACGTTGAAAATGTTTACTAGGTAACGGTTAGTGGATTACCGGTTTCCAGCCAAGTCTATAGCGACGGTGCCTGGCATGACTCCTGTCAGGAACATGTCATTTCTTTGACTGATGTCATTTAGTGTCATTCAGTAAATGATGACAATTATAATGCATTGTTACAATTGTTTGAGTTGTGTTTGTCATGATTAGTTAACCCATAACGAGAAAGCCTTATTATACAACTTTAGTTTAATGTAGTTCTTAATGTGTTGTCTTAACATCACACCACATTATGTAGTTGGTTTGACAATAGCTGTCATTTTAATCTGACCTTTCATGAAGATGTCATTAGATGTTATTACACGGTCATAGATAATGGTGACATGAATCATTCCTTGACCTTCAGCTGAGTGGATGAACCTGTCATTAACATGTCAGTACATTGTACAAGTCCAGTTTGAAGACAGGAAATGTATCAATGATGTGAATTATGGTATTTTGACAGAGAGCTGTATTTTAAAGTCTCTGCTAACGGTTAGCAGCCGCTAGCTAGATAGCACGGTTAGCCATGCAGCTAGCGGTCCAATGAGCTGACTCAGGCCCGGGCTGCCAGCAGTCAGACCCGGACTGACACCACTCGGGTTCTGTGTCCCTGCCGTGAAACTGTCGGTCTCGGAGACAGTCCGCCTTTATTGTGAGGCTGAGTGTCCGGATGCCATTAAAGTGAGTCCGATGTGACCTTTCACACTGTACGCATACTCTGACTGTCTGTAAGCTGATATATGTAAAAACCAACACAAACTGTAATCATGAAATGACGCAGACACTTACTGAATGTATTCAGTAAAGACGAAATAACGTCAGTGCATGCTAACGTTAGTCTTTGTTAGGATCGAAGCTGTCAGGAAACACATTAAACCCAGTTATCATTAGCTCATGACTCCTTTCGTTTTACCCGTCAGATGTCTATCAGTCTTATTCCTGTGCTATAAACCTTAACTGGATGTACTTTAAGTGTCCTGACAAACAAGACAACACATAGAGGGAGGACGAGTCCATGTTATATTACCAGATCACTATGCTTCAACCAAAGTTTACTCAGATCAGCAGCTAGCTACTGCTGTGGCCCCGGACACACCGGCCTGTGACCTACCGTGGGTTGGGTCGTTCCTCACAAATAATCGTCTCTCATTGTGGCCACTCCACTTTATAATTGTTCACAGGCTGAGCTACTATTGCGCGACTTAGTGAGCTTAATCGGCGTTAGGTATCTATGCTAACCATGGATGTAGAAAGAGATGCTAACTTCAGGGGGCGTGCCCTTCTTCTTCTTCTTCTTCTTCTTCTTCTTCTTCTTCTTCTTGGGTTTCTAAATGTGTGGGCTGTTGGGCAGGTTCTGTGCTCACTGGGGGAGAATGACTCTAATATTGAAGTTTTAAAGGATAGGTGTAGTCTTTGTTTTTAAAGTGTGTAAAAGAGGATGTTTTTAAATGGGTAAAATGCTTCAAATGATATTTATTTGGTAGTCATGAAAATCTGGTTATTTATTTTGATTTTGTAATGTATTAGGTTTGTTCCGACTCTTTTGCAGGGTGGGTGTATAGTTAAAACAAATGCAAATACAATTTGTTTTAAAAATCAAAAATCTTCATCTTCATCTTCTTCTGTTTGGAGGTTGATTGGCGGTTGGAAACCAATAATTTGGTGCATTACCGCCACCTACTGTGGAGGAGTAGATGACAGAAAAAACTATTAAAAAAATAAACCCCAACCAAACTCTGGAGAAACTATTTGAAAGACTGTCCATTATTAATGACTGTTGCGGTAGCCGACTACTCATCTGTTAACCCAGAGAAAAACCAGAGAGAACAACTGTAAATGGTTTTTAAAAACTCACGGTATCTTTCCCCTCCCTCTTTTTCTTTATTTTTCTTTTAAAGTATATCTTACTCTTACTGTAAGAGTTATTGTAATTGCACTGTTGAAGATCCTGTGACCACGTTGTTCATTCATTGCATAACTGCACCGTAGTTGTGTATGTGACATGACAATACATCTTTGAAATGCGGCTATTGTATATTTGAAAGACAATATTCTGATATCTTCCACTGCCATTATGTATATATTTTACTTCAAGTTAAAGTTCTGTTTTTATTTCCTATTTTGAGATGTTTATATGTTATGCTTACGCCTGTTTATGTGGTACTCCTTTCCATCTTTCCATTGTGTGCAATGCCATGTTTACATGCTGCTGGAACAACAGATTTTCCCAAATTGGGATCACTCCCTATTTGATGTTATGTTTGTGGCTGTGTTATTTCTTATTAAATGATCAAAAATAAGATAAGGAATAACTGAATAGATTCTTAGTGGCTCTTTATGTAGTGGTCAGAACATGTATGAACCCCTTTGGAATTATTCTTATTGACCTATACTCCAACATAATGGGAACAATCTTGCAATTAATGAATGATTGTAATTAGAATTTTTAAATCTTAATTTTTGCTACACTTTAGTTTGTATAACTATGTGTTCAGAATCACACCATAGGTCAGGCCCACAGCTGTGTGGAAGCACAATGAGCTGGATGACAGAGCAGCGGGTCTCAAGGATCCCGTTCACAAGAGCCCAAGAGACATGCTTCTACTTCACTGGAGCTGTGTACTGGACTAGTTCTGTTCATTAAACAACATTTTGATTTCCCAAATGAAAGTGAGTCCACTGTATTCATTCCCGTCATACATGTTCAAACAGCCTGCTGAGGGTCCCATCATCCATCAAGAGGTATGGATATTAGGGCTGCACAATATTGGACAAAACTGACATCGCGATTTCCCCCCCCCCCCCTGCGATATATATTGCGATATGAAAACATACAGGAATTGAAGAAAAGACAGTTTTTTCCCCCGCAAACCATCCTTTCTTGAACTTTAATGCTATACAATTGGTATTTTTTTAACTATATTTAACCGGATGAAGGATTTTAGTCACGGACGTCTGGATCTTAAAGGGGACCTATCATGCAAAATGCACGTCTTTTATACATGAATATGTGTCCCCGATGTTCCAGGGAACTCACCAAGTGTCAGAAAACACAACCCTCTCTATTTTCCTCCATATAATTGGAGGACGGAGATCTATTTTTCTCCCCCTCTTCTGACTTGATCAGAGCACGCTATCCTCTCCTGCAAGGGGGCGTGGTCAGCTGCAGCTCACAGAATCAGCCCCCTGCAAAAACAGGGCTGGAGAACAGCAAATAGAGCGAAATGAGGCATGGCTAAAATGCATGATCTGTTTGGTATTTTGAAAACAGAAACGTATAAATATACCTTATATAGGTATGGCCCTACAATATATCATTTAAATATAGCATGATAGGTCCACTTTAAGTTATCAGAGCAACAAGCTGAGCTAGCTCGGTTAGCAGCGCCGAACTGCCCTGGAGAAACACATGAAACCACTTTATTCAGTGTTTTTACCTTTAATCACCGGGTCCGTTTGCTTTGGAGATTTGATTGTGATTGGTGGTTTGCTGTGCATGCAGAGCCTGCATGTCACTCACTCAAGTACCCCTGACATGAGAGCCGCAAAATAATTGTAACATGACGTGTTTGAGTTAATTTGCCTACTTAATATCGCAAGTCCTAAAAAAACGCACGTCCTGCGATGTGAATATCGCGCATGCGCATATCGTGATTATCGTCACGACACGATATATCGTGCAGCCCTAATGGATATATAATATGTGGAAGTTCCTTCATCATAGGTTAGGGTTATGATCAAAGGCATCATTTATATATGTCCCCACCACTTTTGGTTACGGACAATTTTGTCCCACTTTGCATTAGGATCATTTGTTAAAAAAAAGAATTGTACATTTTGAGAATGAATAATAGAACATGTTCAATCTGGAGGACTGTTCTCACTCTGGGTGTATCTCTGATAACCCAAGTGGTGCAGTTTGGACCTTGGACCTGAGACGCGTTCAATAGAATAATTGAATAGAGAATAGTAAAGCAATTAATGCTCCTGTCTTGCAGCAGCGTAGCATAGTTACTGCTCTAGTTGTCAAAAAAGTATTGTAAGCATACAGTAGGTATGTATATACAGTGTGTATGAATTGTTTGCAGGGGCCACTTAATGTAGTAGTGTTTTTAGAATCTGAACAAATGATTCCCCGCCACTTTTCCTAACAACGTGACAGACCATTAGACCAACTTTCAATATTCAACAAAAGTAAAACACAGGGGCACAGTGGAAATCTAAAGACTTATTTATTTTTGTATTACTTTATGTTCAGACAATCAGAAAATGACAAATTTTCTTTTCACTGTCTTCTAAAATCTATTTAATGATAATACAAACACCTAATGCAAAATATATCTAAGTTAAAGGTGTCGACCTAAATGCAACACACCGGAACAGCCCTGGAGGATCCTTAAGTGAAATGATCCGGGGTCCTCTGCTCTTCCACCATCAGTCTGGAATGCTCCAACATGTTCCCTGTCCCGTCCTCTAACGTGTCCTTCTACTGGGCAACATGTTGCTGCTGGCCGCCCACATGGACAACATCGTGTAGCAATGGATTTTTGACCTATATTAAAATCATCTTTTTTCATCATGTCAGTACCTTCCACCACCACTTCAATGTTTATTATGCCTGCCTTGACAATGTGTGGGGGCTCAGGAGGGGCTCTGTGATTCTATCCCAGGCACCTGAAGTCTTGAGTCGTCTTTGGGCAAGATACTGAACCCAAAGTGCCATTGTGTTTAAGTGTGTTTGGCATGTATTGCTCCTGATGTAAGTTAGCCTGTGTCAGTGTGTGTGTGTGCTCTGGGACTGGTTCAAGGCTGTAGAGGCAGGGCAGAGAGCATGTGTGATGGAAGGACATCATCAGGGCAGTCCAGCTTATATCATTGTTTGGTTGTGCATATCTGCAAAAGATCAAAATACCATAAACTGTAAACACACCATGACATTTGGGGCCTTCAAGGGGCCCTGAATGTCCGGGGTCCCATATGGCCTTGTGTGAAACTGCAAAGATGGGATTTCCAAACTGATGTCCCCAAGCCAATGATTACCAGATGCAGCTGCTTATTTATCTAGTGCTCCATTCATCTTTGAAAATAATGACAAATGTCCATCATCATTTCCAGTGTCAGTTTTCAGGACATGATGCAGAGGCATCCTTCTTCATCACTCTGCAGCACGCAGGAGCAGCCATGATGCAGAGGCATCCTTCTTCATCACTCTGCAGCACGCAGGAGCAGCCATGATGCAGAGGCATTCTTCTTCATCACTCTGCAGCACGCAGGAGCAGCCATGATGCAGAGGCATTCTTCTTCATCACTCTGCAGCACGCAGGAGCAGCCATGATGCAGAGGCATTCTTCTTCATCACTCTGCAGCACGCAGGAGCAGCCATGATGCAGAGGCATTCTTCTTCATCACTCTGCAGCACGCAGGAGCAGCCATGATGTCGTTCACAGTGAAAATCCTCAAAGTCAATCAATGTGTTTGTGAAATTCCGACATGCAACTGTGGTATTGGTTCAGACAGAGACCCGGTTCTAAACAGAGTGAACATTCCAGACTGAAGAGGCAGAGGCACTGAGACGGAACAAATGCAGAGGAGCCAACAGGCAAGGTGCTACAACATCCTGCTGTGAGCTACCCTCAGTAAAAAACTATTGAGTTACAAAGTACATGTGCTTGATCTGACAAAAATAAAACTCTACACAGACATTTTCTCTGCAGTTAGATGGACAGTCACCTGTCTCTTCTCTGAGGTAGTACATAAGTAGAAATATCATTAAAGGCAAGTAAAGAGAACAATGTCTGGCTGTGGGATACACCACCAGGACCTGTGTGTACCCAGCCCTTCAGAGAGGAACTCGGAGCATATGAGCATCTTCAACATGGTCCAATCTGCCTAACAAGTTACAACTATTTCTAATGATTCTTGCAGAAAGATATACAAAAATGTAGAGGTAGAAAATTTGACGAAATTATAATGTCAACGTCTGTAGCTAGATAAGGAGTTTAGATTCATTAAACTACTTTTATAGTTTCAATCTAATGGCACAAATAAGAGCCAAAATAACTAGAAGCAAAAACAAATAAAAACAGAAACCCACACTTCTGCGTGTTTGAGGTACAGATCAAATTCATCCTTTTGTTTTTTTAGAAATGTCATAAGTGCTTAAACCCAGTCAGGAGATTAGACACTCTTAGAGAGGCACAACAGTAGTATTTTAAGACATCGGTGCAACACTTGGAGGCCGGTAATAATGCTAGTGAGAGAAGTCCTTCAACAATCAGTTCATGGAGTTAAGGCAGAAGGGAGAGCATCTTCTTTCGGATATCATCTATCCTCACTCACATCATCTCCACTAACAGACCAACGCCATGAGTGGAGCCTCCATTATGAGAAGGCTGCTGGTTTGGATCAGAGACAGGAGAGGGGGGGGGGTCACCTTTTAGTATGAATGACATCAGATACTCTTGAGATCCAGCACCCCAGCCTTGTGGATGGGTGTTAACCCCAACAGTAACATAGTAAGAGATAGGAAAATGGTTCAAGTGCTCTGGAAGTCCTTTGTAGAATTGATGCTGCGTTCCATTCAGGAATACTGTCAGACCCTCACGGAGAGCGGGTCACAGGTTCAGCCCGGGTACATGAAAAGAAGTGAACAGGTAACAGGGAGGGTTGGGACTATTCCTTCTGCCTAATCACAATGCTGATCTCAAGTGCTTCAGGTTAAGTAGCTAGGGTTGCTACCTTTTACTATGGAAAATAAGTAGAGACCTGGATGACCTCTACTTCAGACTCAAATATAGATTCATTAACATATTGTCAAGTGCTTTACTTACCCAAGGCTGTAGTGCTATGATTGACACATGGCGGGATTTGAACAATTATGTTTCACAGATGTGTTTTAAGCGCTGTCAAATCTTTGCAGCATGTCATAGCCACATTTTCTGATTGAGCATATTTATCTAGCCTTGATTCAAGATCATCTTACTGTCACAGTTGGGGTTGGCCTTATCCTGGACGCAGACATTCAATAACTCCTATAACAAATTGAATTGACACCGAGTGTGGGTTTGCTGCAATGGCTAATAGGGTTCATTCCCACCATGCTCCAATACAGGGCATATGTATGTTGTGGGACATGGGCAGCAACCCTGAGACCAGTGACCTGGTTAGCACAGAGTCGGCAAATGTACATTTCAGAGTTCCCTGTTTGACCTTTTAACAGCGCAGATTCAGGGATTCAAGGTAAACACAACAAGCCGCTGCTACCCTGCTCTCTGAGGCCCTGTTCATCAGACAGCGTAAGACTCCCTGAGGATGCCAGGAGTGCTGACTAGTGTTGTTAGCAGATACAAGTTCTGAGGGAATTTCAGACTGGATTCCATAGGTAGCTTCTTGTAGAATCCAGTCAAGTTGTGCGGTATAGGTAAAACATTCTATTTTTCTTTTTAAAACCCTACCATTCAAACAAAGTTGACAGCAGTGGTGCAGCAGCTTTCCTCCTCCTGTGATTTGGCATGACTTCAAGCTTTAAAGGCCTGTAATATTTCAAATGAAACGCAAGTGCATTTCAATCTAGTTATAATAGGTAATACTGCCAACAAAAAGTAGCTATTTAGCATTAGAGATTGTTTCACCAAGGTGATATAACCTCAAATCACCCAACAATCCTAAGGCTTCCAACGAGGACTCTGGCAAAGAGCTACTTTGTTGCATTGTTTCAAGATAGGACATCATCATTTTAGATTATGTTACTAAAATGCCTTTGCAGTTCAATTATTATGAACATGTGTGACATTTGACAGTTACTAGTTGTTCAGTTAACTAATAATAGTTGTGCAGTCAATCTTCACAGTTGTTGTTAACTGTATATGTTATCGACTGCACTTCATTTTTGGAGAATTTCTGGCCAAACACAGTAAAGGGTTGAATGAACAACACTTGAAATAATTGTTGATATAATTTCATCAATGGTCAATTCTCGTCTCGTGAAATATTGATGTCCCTAGATGACATGTTTTGGAGAGTTAACAAGGTGCAATGTGTAAGGTCAAGCCACCTGCTCCAAAGAATGAAGGGCTAGAATTGCACCTCTAATACTGGCTTCATGCAATCTAAATGTCCAGTCAACAATATGAACAGAAAAAGCCTACTAACCAACAGTAGGGCAAGAATATGTCAAATCAAAGTAAACTGCCAAAACTCAGTGGGTCAAAAACCCACTGCTACCTTATAATGTTGTCATGTTGCATCAGCCTGTAGTTTACCTCAGTCAAAGCCACACGCAGCCACTGGGACACAGACAGCAGGACCCTGGATCTACCTGTGACAGGACAGCAGTTGTGGCCCACAACGGGCGCTGGGGGCGCTCTAGTTGAATTCAATACAACTGCTGACTGTAGTCTGCCTCCCTGAGCGCTCCTCCTGGTGTAGCAGCCTCCCAGTGGGGATCAGGGTCAGCCAAGCTGTGAATCCTCTGTTGTTCTGCCCATTTGGATTTATAGAGAGATGTATAATGACAAGCCCTCAGGGCAGCCCTGTAGTAGTCTGGCCCCACAGTGCCACACGAGACCCCCCAGAAACAGGACTAGCTTTACAGGTTAGGTTTGTAAAGGCGCCTAGTTCATTAGCATGCTAACTTCAGTAAAAAGCTCTGCAACATATTTGACATGTCAACTAAGTAAGCTTTCAGGTTATGTTGATAATGCAAGTTCTTTTTTTTTTTCAACTAAAATTCAAGCCATAAATGACACATTGCACCCTTAGCCACCAGATTTCCTACACAGACAGTGCTGTTGGCATTCTCAATATTGGTTTTTTTCACTAACTCAAACGGAGTACATCTTACACCAACTTTTTCTTGCTCTACAAGACCGTTCATGCTCCAATATTCTAAAATGAGAACATCTCAAGTCTTCTTTAGGAAGGAGGGTGACATACCCTAACACAGTAGCATTTCCCATGATAACCTAAAACTGGATAACTCCCAGCATTGTGCAGCGCCTGTGACAAGTGTGTTAAGTGCATCCACTGTTGGTAACAGGTCTGACCAAAAAGTAGAACTCTACTTTGGTTGTAGTGAGACCATCTCAATTCCTCAAACGTTCAAGATTCCTTTTTAAATAATGAGGTAATACTGATGAGGTGATTTGTTGTGTTAAAAAAAAAAAAGTTAGATTAGCATCGTTAGCACTGACAGGCTAAAGTCACACATACAATAAAGATGCCATTCTCATTTTTACCCTTTTCATGAAAAAGCCTGTGAAGGCAGCGTTTGTGGGGACAGAGCTGCTTACTGCTGAAAGGCCTGGTAGTAGTGAGGTAGGGAGCTAGAAGTGCTCATAGCAGGACTGCTGTATGCCTGAGGTAGCTGGCTGTGGTTATGGGCTCCCGGGCCCTGTGGTACATGAGCCTGTGAAGGCTGGAAGAAGGTGAACGGCCCTGGAGCCTGGCTGGACAGCCCAGAGGAAGAGGATGGAGGGGAGGTGGTGGTAGCGGGTGGATAGCTCATCACTAACCCCCCCATCCCCATGTGAGGGCTGTAGGGCGGCAGGCTGAAGGGCAGGAAGCCCAGCAGAGGCCCAAGGTCCATGTTAGTGGTGCAGGACAGCTCGGTGGAGGAGATGGCCGGGCTCCTGGACAGCAGATGGGGGTCGCTGGCAGCACCCACGCCTTCACCCAGCACCTCCCTCTGAGGGGAGGCAGAAGTAGAGGTAGAAGAGTTGACTGCACTTAGGTGAGGTGGGGGCACACTCTGCAGGTCCAGCAGGAAACTGTCCACGTCGGCGCGAGGATATGAGGTAGATCCGTGCTGGTACCTGGCCATGTTGCTGTAGGGCTGCTGCTGCTGCGAGGCCACAGGAGGCTGTAGGTGGTGATGGTGAGAAGATTGGGGAGGCATGTGGCGGGCCACACCCATACTCGAGGACAATGACCCCTGCATGAGGCCATGAGGGTGACCCATCCCAGGGACAGCATTGGTCATGGGGTATGAGTTGTACATGTCCCTGGAGAAAGGCTCCATGGGCTCCTTGGAGACAGAGCCCATATCAGAGACCACAGGGCTAGGCTCCTCCTTCACAGGGCACTGGGGGGCAGGGGTCGGTGTAGCAACGGGTGTGCTGGGTGTACAGGGTGGCATCAACCCTGACTCCTGCGCGTGGCTCTTCTTCAAATGGCGGGTCAGGTGGTCTCTTCGTCCAAAGCGCTGTGCACATCGCGGGCACAGGAAGTCCCGGCGCCCGGTATGCACCACAGCGTGACGCCGCACATCCTTACGAGTGTAAAAACGGCGGTCGCATCGCTCACACGAGTACTTCCTCTCTCTCACAGGCACAGCAGTGTTATTGTTGCCCTCTGATGGTGGAGGCCTGTCAATATGGCTGCCCAGGTGCTCCAGCAGCGAGGGGGGCCCCTCTGGACCGGGCAGGCCTGCTGAAGCACTGTGGGCTGCCACCAGGTGTCGTCTGTAGCCCAGCTGGGTGTTGTACTGCTTCCCACACTCCTGGCAGTGGAAGAGCTGCCTGCTGGCTGTGTGGCTGTCTGGCAGATGGCTCTTCAGATGGTCCTGCTGGTGAAACATGGTCTAACAGAAGGAACAGTACTGGCTGTGCGGCTGCACAGGGACCCTGGCCAAGAGCCTGAGCAGACACAGACAAGACTCATGAGGATCCTCCAGAGAGCCGAGCATCAGCCTGCAGACCTCTGGTCGTCTTGTAAACTTAGAGTGCTAGAATTAATGCTGTTAATAAGTGCTGTTTGTTCACGGTTTGATGCTCTCTTGTGGCAATGACTAGTGGTCTGTCCTGCCTTACTGATGCAAGCCTGTGTCCAGCACTTGGTTTCTGTGACAGCAGCTGCCATAGCAACCCCAAAAGGGCTGTGGTGATGAGGAGCTTTGGAAGCTCTGACTGGGTCTGTGTGTTTTCCTGTGAAAAGCTCTTCTGTTGTCCTGCAGTCTATTTTAGTATTCAGCAGCTCTGAAAGCCAGAGTCACAGCAGCAGAATCACAGAGGTAGCTTGGCATCGTCAGAGACCTGAAAAACAGAAAAGAGAAGTGTCAAATAATATCGTTTGGCAAGTAAAATCATGCTGGATGAGCTGACTTTAATAACTAAAGAATAAAACTGCATATCTTTTTTGCATTTGATCATTTTAAATATACTTCAATGTGTCCACCTGTCTATACTTTATGTAACACAGGCACACAGGCCTTATCATCTTTAGTGGTAGTAGTGTTAGTACCAGAGAATAACATAATTGTCTTTTAAGTTAATTTTATTTATAAATAATATAATATATATATATAAATAAAGTGAACGTTTTTTTAATCATTAATCTTAATTTAAGTACTAGTTATAATCTACCCTGAATATTGATAGTTTTCTTTTAAATATTTATAATCATTACTACTTGTTGATAACAAAATGTGTCAATACCACGTAAAAGCGTAGTACCGTTGGCGAGTATTCACAATACTAACTTGCAGCACATTTCTGGGTGAAAACCAAATATTTTTTCTTTCCACCTAAAATATCCATAAGGTGCATTCATCACAGCGCATAGCCAACAAGTGCATTGTCCGGTGCCTTGCTCAAGGGCACCTCTGCAGGGCCCAGGAGGTGAACCAGCAGGGTCCAGGACGTGAACTGAGACCTTACAACCTCTTCTTAGTGTTGTAAACTTTATATGACATATTTACAAAGATGGTTGTGCCAACAAGAGCCACGAGATGGTGCTGTATCTGACTTTCTTCCCCAGAAAGCTACCTAACATAGTTTAGGCCACCAGTGTTTGGTCAGTGTACTGCACAAACAACATTGCCCAAACTGCCCCCTACCGACTCCAATTACGTGATGGAGCGAACTCCATCTGCAGTCACACTCACAGCTGAATGAGGCTCCATTATAAGCTGCATGGTTTTTGTAACAGTCTGTAAATAAACAAACTACGTTTACCGTTTTTTAGACTAGACACGGGTATAAGTAAAATAAATACGAGGTAACATGAAGTTGTTAATGTCAGTATGACGATATTTATTGTTTATCTTGTTAGGAGCAGTTTGCCAGTAAATGTTTGCAGGAACTGTTTGTAACAGTGTTTCATGACCAGTCGTGTAGTGGGGACGGGGGGGTGGACGGGGAGGAGACGAGACACTATGGACACGCTCGTGAACTGTCAACGGGGGGGGCGGGCGATAGGGGTACACTGTGGGCCTCTGTGGGCCTCTGTGCACCTCTGTCGCCTGTCAGCGCAACTTACATGATGCCGTTTAAAAAATATAATAATAAAGGGCGGCCTTTCTGCGCGACTGTCACTCAAATGCGGGACATAGTCTCAATTTGTGGGACACGGGACAAATGATAAAAATGGTGTTGCCCCTCACACACACACACGCTTCAAATCAAGTTGCATAAATACTTGAGCTACGTTTTTATTATAATTACTGTGAAATGTATTATGTTTTCGTCATTATTACAACAAACGGCAGTGGCTCAGTCAGTAGGGGCTTGGACTGTGCGCCGTAGGGTCGCCGGTTCAAGTCCCCGACCAGACCTAAATATGGAGTGTGGACTGCTACTTGTAGAGGTCCCAGTTCACCTCCTGGGCCCTGCCGAGGTGCCCATGAGCAAGGCACTGGACATCCCCCTTCCCCCCCTCACTCCCATTGCTCCCCGGGCGCTGTACAATAGCTGCCCACTGCTCCTAGTACTAGACTCCTGGTGCTAGGATGGTTAAATGCAGAGAACAAATTTCACTGTGTGCTGTGTGCTCTGCATGTGTGACCATTAAAGAGGGGTTCATCCCTCCAAATTCTTCTAAATACACACTTGCAACTGATAATGCTGGCAATTATTTTATATTTATTAGACTATTAAAAAAAAAATCGTGCTTCAAAAAAGTGGGGGGACGGCGATCCCCCGCGTCCAACGACCACTACACCACTGTTCATGACGGACAGAAACAGCGTTGGGTTGGGTTGGGTTGGTCAGGTAGAGCAGCAGGTGAAATCCGGACCGGTGCAGACTCTCTGTTGGAGGACTTGATAACTCACTCCCCACTTGTTGGATTGCAACAGCACTTAACGTGGCGGACCCTCTGTGCGCAAAACAATAGCAACCAGAGTAGCAGCATGGAGGTCGGATCGTCACCAAAATAAATAAATAAGTGGTCCGAAAAAAGTTAATGACAAAATACACATAACCTTCCTCAGGCAGTGTGTCAGTGTGTCAGTGTGTTTGTGCCGGGGACAGGAGACCCCCCCCCCCATGATGATAAACTGTAAGAAAGTATCGGGGGATCCCTGCGGAGTAGAGTCAATTAATGTATATTTTTTTATTTGGTGGTTTGTGTTCCGGCTGTCAATCAGCTGTGCGCAGCGTCTCCACTGCAGCCTGTGCGTCTCAACCCCCCCCGCAGCAACTCTATCCACCAGTTAAATGAAATAAAACTAATGTGTTGTGTTATATCAGCTGCCAAATATATGGTGTTCTTAGTTTCCATACCTCCTGTGTTTTATGAGCGACTTATCAAGTCTTAGCAAACGGCATAAAACACGATTAAACATGATGGTATATAAAACCATACTCGTATCTATACAACCTATAGAAATACAAAACGTCCTCAGTTTAGACGTAATTCTGTCCTCCTGCTTACCGCATCATTAATGAGAATACATGTCATAACATTAAGAAGACAACATATTCGAGGTGGTTTTCAATAACATATCCGTATATATATATTTCTCTAAGTTATGTTTTTGTGTGCACTGAGGAGTCGCAAACAGGCGTTTGTTTAATCATTTTAAGATTGGCTTTAATCAATGTTTGCAAATTAATTCTTCATATATGATACATGAGGTAACATTTTATTTATGTATGCAGTGTTTCCCCTAGGTTTAGCTTTTGCTTTGGGGGGGTGCTGCCTAAACTCACAACTTAAAGTGAAAGCGTTTCGTTTATTTAATAAACGAGCACATGTTCAATGTGAAAAGTGACAGTAGATATAGATTAGTTGCAATTTGGTGCTATATATATATATATATATATATATATATATATAAAAAAAAAAGAATTCAACACCTTGAATTTCAGGGGGGGCGCGGGGCTCCGTTGGCAGGGCGCAGCGCCCCTCCAAGACAATGGTAGGGGAAACACTGGTATTATTTTCACATATTTCTCTCCATTCTTCCTTCTGCCAAGGGTTACCCTTTTACTTTTGGTACTTTAACTATATTTTGATGCTAATACTTTTACTTGAGGAACATTTTGATTGCAGGACTTTGACTTGTAAGAGAGTATTTATACACTTTTTTACTTAAATACAACAACTGAATTCTTAACTTCTCCCACCTGACGTGATACTAGGGCTGTGCGATTATGGCAAAAATCATAAACACGATTATTTTGGTCAATAATTGATATCACGATTATTAAATGCGATTATTCATGACTTTGAAAAAATCCATTTATTGAACTTTTAAATACAAATAATAATTTGAACAGTATCTTTTTAACTGTTGATTTCCCTGAGCGTATAATTCAACTGAAAAACCAATACAAAAATAAATAAAATAAATGATACATTTATATCTACATTTAAATAAATAATATCAAAATAATAAATACCAATAAACAAGATCAACAAATATTTTGGAGCGCACTTCAACAAGCTACTAAACATATATAAATATGATAAATACAAATGAATTAGATCAAATATGTTGCAGTGCACTGTCACAACCTAGCAAAGCAAAATAATCGTTTTTTTCGATTATGTTGTTTTCGTAATTGTGACAGGCCAAAATCGTAATTGCGATTAAAATACGGTTAATTGCATAGCCCTACGTGATACAATTACTTGTAATTGGGGCAACAGAGCACGAATTATGAAAGTCGAATATTCTGCATTTCTCCGTCTGAATATGATGCCTTTTGGCCTGATGTTTGGACAGATTGCTCATGTTACCGCGCTTACGCGAAAACACTAATGGCAAACGAGCATTGTCCACATCGAGCCTTGTAGAGTGTCACTATACTTTTGAACGTTCCGTTCTCTCCGTCCCTGGCAGATCTGTGTGTTGCTGCAGCGTGTCTGTGAGATTATGATTCTACTTGTGATAGTCGGACATGACAACCTGTGCAGCCCATGTATTGATTCCATCCGATAGCTGCTATAATAACAAACAAAACGTCTGCCTGCTCTCCACAATGATCAATAACAGTGAACGGATGGTCAAAGTAAGGTACAAATAAACAGAATCACACGAAGCCTGGTTAGTGTTGCCTGACTTTATAAAGTGTGTTATTTTTTATAAGTGTGTGGTTGCGTTCTAGTCACTTTGCTCAGCACTACTGCTGGTTACAACTTTTATTTGCCGTACTCGCCTTAACTGTTAGCTCAGGTTAATCTCGCGCCCCTCCGACGTAAGCGTGACGTATGCGGTTCTTGCTTCTAGACGGACAACTTTTTGGTGCTCGAAACGAACCGGATTCCGGAGCTTAGAGGCTGCTCCACTGCGCTGTGAACAGGAAAAAACGGTGCTTTTCAGGCTCTAGCTCCGAACCGGCCCTGAAACACCGTTGGTGTGAATGGGGTATATCAGTAATCCCACACACTACCCTGTCAGCCCAGCAGCTGGGAAGACCGGGAAGTATTGGGGAGCTGCAGTGTTTTTGCATGGGCTGATGCTAGACAAAAAAACGTTTTGCTACATGCAAAAGTGCATTATAAATGAATGTTGTTATTATTATTATTATAATATTTGACCAGATATTTCTTATTTTATGATTTGTGTCCATTTTACAGACAAAAAGAGGATACAGGTTAATAAGGCAATGTAGCCAGGTAATAGCTTTAGCAAAAATGTAGCAGGATGTATTTCTGTCTTTGTTTTAAAATTATAACCTGTAATTGAGATCATGTGCTTTTCTCCGCTGTACCCTTTGTCTGTGCCGCCGTCGCTTTTCAAAGGTTTACTCCAGAGACAGAGGCATTATTTCCTGCAATCCATCACCTGAGCTAGGTTTGATGTTGCAGTCAGTGTTACAGGTGTAAGGGATTACACTTACACTTACCCAACAACGCTTTTCTTTTTTTAATAGAAATAAATCCACTTGGTTTTTTTCAGCACCGATTCAGTAAAGGATAATATGATAATAATGATAGTAAAATGTATATAAACAACAGTAGTACATAAATATTATTCTCTGCTTTTAACCCATCCTCGTACCAGGAACAGTGGGCAGCTATTGCACAGCGCCCGGGGAGCAATGGGAGTGATGGGGGAAGGGGGATGTCCGGTGCCTTGCTCAAGGGCACCACGGCAGGGCCCAGGAGGTGAACTGGGCCTTTTCCAAGTAGCAGTCCACACTCCATATTTAGGTCTGGTCGGGGACTTGAACCGGCGACCCTACGGCTCCCAGTCCAAGCGCCTACTGACTGAGCCACCTTGCCTGTCATTGTATCAGTTCTTTAAAGCATTTGGAGCATATGCTTATTGTAACACGTTTGACTCAATTTGTTAATTCAGGGTCTAATTTAACCCTTTGTTAGGCCTGGGCATCTTTTGAAAATTGATGTTAATCAAACTAAAATAATATGCAAAGATGAAAAGTGTGTGTATAAAACTAGCATATTTGGTTAAGAGAGCGAGGCGGTGAGTGAGAAGGGGCAAGAGAGTATATGTGTAACGGTGCAAGTTAGTAATTATTATCATCTCCATTCAGCTCAAAATACCATGGCAAGCACAGGCATCATTTATACTGGGGACACTTTTGGAAATGGCCAATTTTGTCCACCACTTTGCATTAGGATAATGTCCTAATATGTACTGTAAATACCGTGAAAACGAATTGTACACTTTGAGAGGTTTATTTGCAAAATAGAACATCAATCTCGAGGACTGTTCACACTGTTTGGATGTATTTTCTGTGCAGTTTGGACCTGCGACACGTTCAATATTAGCAATAATTGAATGGAGTATAGTAAAGCAATTGATGCTCCCTCTTTGCAGCAGCGTAGCATAGTTACAGCACTAGTGGTCAAAAAATGATTGCAAGCATATGTATGTATATATTGTTTGCTGTGGGCGTTTAATGCAGTTGTGGGGTTTTTTTTTATCAGAAAAAATGATGGCAAGTGATGACGAGAGAGCAGCCTAGAGAACAACGGTGTGTGCGTGCAGTGAGTAGGACATCAGCTGGAACGTAGCCGTGCAGAGTGTGTACCATCTATTTGTTGGAGAATAAATGCTACTGCTCAACAAAACCAACTGCTGGTTGTGTGATAATTGAAGGAACTCTGGCTAGCAGTGCCAACAACGACTCTGGTTTAAGGTGTGCTGACCTTTAATGTGGAAAGCTATACCAATGTGACAAGCCCCTCCTCCAAGTTTCTCAACTTCCTGTGCGACCAAAAGGGGTTCGAGCAATTCTGTTGGAAACCCTTTAACCTGTTGAGCCCCACGGCCTGCGGCAAAAACGCAACATCTCCAAGAAACAGCTTCTTAACATTTAACAACCTATTAATAATGTGTCCTACCCACTTAACGGGAAGAAACTCAGCTAACTGACGATATGAACCATTTTTACCAAACAAAACACAACTCTAACGCCGAGCCTCTGAATTAGCGCTGAGCGAAAAAATGCTAACGCACTTAGCACAGAACTCACGGTATAAATACTTTATTACAAGTATCATCACTGTGCGACCAAAACTCAGGGCAGCGAAGGCAAACCCAGACAACCACCACGTAGCTTTACGGAGCCAAAACGGCAAATATGTCTTACCTTTGCTGTTTTCTGATCAAAAGTTGTGTTCAATGGCATTAAAACGATAAAAACGCTGCTGAAGGTTAATCCAATGTCTCTGTGTCCCTTTGAAATGATTACTGATAATCCATCATCATATTTATGGCTATAACCTAGTTTTCAGTTTTCAGAGCGTAACATAGCTTTTGGCTTGGGCAAGCTGTGTGCGCATCCCTCTCACTCCTCAATGGTAACGTGTAGGTGGATTTAGGAACTTCCCTCTCGATTCTATTGGCTCTAACCGTTCAAAAGAGGTGTCAATCATCAAAATCGACCGAGGGGGGCCAGAGATATGGCAAATCCACCCAAATGACCCCAGAAGTGTTTTTTTTTTGCTAAACCTCTCTAAAAAGGTCAAATGTCTCTTGTTTTGCATCAATCTTGATACAGGGTACTTACTATATGTTATAGTTTGGATTCCTAAAGCTTTTAGTCTACTATCCCATCATTCAAGGGTGGTTTTCACTATAAGTAAAAAATGTGGACGGGCACTATAATTTACATTTTTTTACTATGTTCAATCTGAATTTACTTTAAAATAAAAAAAATCTATATTGATTTTGACTTTTCTACATCCAACTCACAGGTTTATCATTGCTTTGAGAAAAAAGATTATTAATGAGATAAGATTATTTAGAAGTGAAGATATAGTCATTTGTTCTGGGAAGGTCATTTTCGAGCCTGAGACCTGAAAAACAGGCTCAGGGCTTAACAGGTTAATTATGGCGCATTTCCACCATGGCGCGGAGCGCGGTTTAAGCGTGCCGTGTCGTACCGGGCCCGTTTTTGGTTGCGTTTCCACTATGCCTAGTTCCGGCCCGGGGCTACTTTTTCACCTTTTTTCTGGCCCGACAAAATCGTGGTTCTATCGAGGCCAACAAACAGGGCTGAGTCGGGCTGAGTTTGCTAAACTAGAGAGAGAATCGCTGGCAAGGGGGCTACAACTACAACAAGATGAACATATTTGACCGTGATTTAATTGTAATACACGTTTCAAAATGATGCCGAAGTAACAACATACTGATACCGGTTAGTAAAAACCATGAATTAATGCTTTGACAAGTCTGCAGACAGACGGCAGGCGAAAAACCTTTTAAAATGCGTGTTGTCTAAATGGAGATCGGCTAAGCTAACGCAATATATGCTCCGACCGTCCACACTCACAACAACGGCCTATACAGACATAAATAAACCAGCGACTGTACTCGCCATGACACAGACAGTCTGTGGTTTGTACTTGTTTAACTTTTGTCTAGTTTCTGAACAGATATGAGGAGCTGTGAGCTTGAGTGCTAACAGCTAGCGGCTGATGTTGTTTTTCTGGGGTGCTCATTGAAGATGACGTCACGGCTCCGCCTACACTGCGTTACTATAGATACTACCCCAGTTCCTAAACTGTAATGGAAGCGCAGCATTAAAGTGAGCCGGGCCTAACAAGGCCTAACAAAACGGTTAACCGTACTAAGTCGAGCGAGGCCTGCGGTGGAAATGCGCCATTAGATCCCATCAAACATCAGTAAAGGCTGATTTATGTGTTATCACCAATACTCAAGAAGAATTCCATTAGTTGAATGAATCCATTTGGTAAAGCATGAGTTCATCAAAAACATTAAAAGTATGATATCTCTCTTAAATCAGTAGTAATACAACATGGATTTCTTTCTATAAAAGTATGTTTTAGTTCAACCAGATAATTATTAGAAGTCTTGACAAAAAAAATCTTCTAAGCTAGGGCCTTCTGACCACATATGGATAATATTACATGCTATCTGTTCAGCAAAAATCGTCAAAAGAAAAGACTGACTTCTAATTGCGTTGAAAATGTGAATTCAAGTCAACTTTTTGAGGCATTTAAAAAAGTTAACTTTTATAGGTATTAACAGTATCAACGAAATGTAGGATATTAGGAACCATTTTTGCTTTACTATTGGATATAATAAATGTCTGTAATGTATTCTTCCAGATATGAACTTATATCTTGCTCCTGGAGGAGATGCAACACTATGAACAGGACCATGCTACCCTACTTTGAGTGGATGCTAGATGTTGTAACTAACTCAATTATTTTGGTTACGTCGCCTGTATTCCTTAAGCCATGGTGATTTTTTTTTTTTTTTTTTTTTTTTTTTTTTTTTTTTTTTTTTTTTTTTTTTTTTTTTAAATGGCAGTAGACAGTATTTTCTGATTTATGGAATGATAATATATTAGGTAACATCTGCATATAGGATTGTTTCTTTAAAGGACTTTGAAGTAGAAACTTCACAACACATTTTCCAGCAGTGGATGTTCTTCCTGCCATCATACAATTAACGTAGTTACACTCGCGGGGGGTCTGGATAAAAGGTGCAATACAAGACTTTAAGTTCGGCGAAGAGAGCTGGTAGTGCCATCTTGTGGGTCCGCAGCATGGAGCTGCCATAAAGCTTTAATCCCCACACATTTTCTGCTTAAGCTCTCTCTATTGTGTGAAGATAACTGCAAAAATGTTGGTTCTGTTCGAGCAAAATGAAAAGGGAAAACTTCCCCTCGGGCCGACGGCAGACTGGCTGGATGATGGAGTCTGAAGTGAAGCGCTTCAGTGTTGGAACGGGGTCATTACCAGACGGGGGCTAAATGTGACTGCTAGCCTTGCTGTTCAAAATAATTCGGATGCGAAGGAGAAACTCGTATTAATGCTTGGCGGTGCCAGTTACGCTAGTTTTATGCCGAGGGAACACACTGACTACTGTTAGTGTGAGTGTGGGTGAAGTTAGCCGAAGCAGCATGCTGGTTAAAAAACAAAAGATGAGCGCTAACTAAGTTGTATCGGAGTTTGTGTTACGGGAGCTAACTCCTCTACATGTTACCGAGCAGGGTTCCACTCCGGCTCAGGGCCACACACACGGACACAACACTACTCACCGAATGAGTCTCAGTCCGGCTATCCTTCCAGCCTCCATTCCGTCTCCATGTCGACATTTTGGAGCAAGTTTTAGAGATGTTTCTAGAGTCCGGGCCTGGACTGCTGGGCGCCGCGCTGGAAGCCATGCATTCTGGGAGAGTGACGTCAGACCCCGGGCTCAGGGGAACTCTAGCAGGAACCACTTCCATTCACACAAAACACACACACACACACACACACACACACACAGAAATTGAAAATAAAATGATAACTATTTCCAAACATTAGAAGGATTTGTGTAAACAAAACTGATGTAAAAAGCAAAGACAGAGACCTTGGTGTATATAAACATGTTATAATAATTATTTGATTTATTTGATTTGCTTGCAACAACAAAAAAACTGGTGAACAATGAATGATGTTAATTGAATCACAAGAATAACATGAGGATATTGGCAAATAAAACACCAATGGTGTATTTTGTTCTCTTTTCTTAGTTGTTGTTAGGAGTCTGAACTGTGTGATATATTCAGTATCTCAAAGAGTGAAACTGAAAGAAAAGTGGTGATATTTCTGAGGTGGTGGAAGCAAGACTAGATAACCTTACGACTATAAAGTTAACATGTTGACCTGTAATCCAAGCTACCCCTTGTGATCTGACAGATTGTTATGAATCATGTTGGAATAGACGAGTATTGGGGATGTATTAGTCACAACAAAGAATATCACTGGTGTCAATGTTCCTCATAGGATCTGAAAAATGATATATGCATAATTCGATCATTTTGTTTCTTTCACCTATGTGAATAGTTTGTATTCTGTACAAACTATGAAGTCCACTGAGACAAATGTAACATTTTTTATATTGGGCTATATAAATAAACTTTGATTGACCGATTGATTGATGAAATAGATTCGGAGTACTGTGTACTGCCTTGCTGAAATAATCTCATGCAACACCCTTGCTGCAAATGTTTATCTTTGTTCCACTTGACTTAAGTGTTTGTAACATAAATTAAAGATTAATACCAGCTATTATTGTGAGGGTCCTCCCAGGTGTGTTTATTTGCTCCACTTACAGTGTTGCCTGTATAAACAGTTGCATATGTGCAGAGTTAAAATAGATAACGTGGTGGCCAGTCGTTTGCTCTGAATCCGTTTTAATATGAATATGAATGACACAAAATGTTGGTCTTCTAAAGAATGGACTCTATTGTTATATTTAATATGGCTAAAATAAAAAAATACCTTTGTTGTTAAGCATTGGAAGACTAAAATAATATAATGTATGATTATTTGCATGCAGCATCTGTTTAAATATACAATTTGCATGAAGAGAGCAGGAGGTTTTTTCTTGCATTCCTGCGCAGGGTTTGACCTTTGACCTGGTTGTTGCATTCCAAAGAGGCTTGTCCTGCAGCAGCGCCAGCCTGCACTCACACTGCTTCTGTGCTACCGAGAGACGATGTGTGTTCAGCTAGTTTAGACAAGGCACAGTAGCGAGATATATCAGAAACTAGCAGACAGCACAGCACCGTCCGGAGCTAAAAGGAGTGTCTTGTTTTGGGTCTACACAGTTCACCTAGAACGGAGTTAGCCATTTTGCTAAGCAGCTAAACCGCCATCGTATTGAGGTTGCTTTACAGACACACAGCAGGCTAGCCGCAAACACCATCGCAGAAGAAATGAAGGACAAACAAAAGAGAAAGAAGGAGCGGACCTGGGCTGAGGCAGCCCGCATGGTAAACACTGTTTTGAGCATTTATAGAGACATGTGTACATTATTTATGGTATAATGCGGAGTGATGTTCCAGATGTGTTGTTGTGTTCATTCTACTCACGACCACTGTCTGCACTCTAATATTAGCTAGGTTAGCTTTTATCAGCACTAGACCAGTCTATAGGTTGGATATGTTTAAAATAAATGTAACTGGGTGCCACTTTTGAATTGTGTTGCATTTCTTTCTGACTGCTGACATAAAGAGCTACGCAACGCTACATGCTAAAGCTGGCTAACACGCTAACATCCTCTCCTGTTTGAGCTCTTTGTTTGCTAGGCAGCAGGCTAGCTAGCTAGCCCTACGCTAATTTCCATTTTAGCAGCCCGAGAAACTCAAGATACGCGACCAGTTTGTGCATTTCATTGTTTCAACGTGACCCTGTCAAACCTCTCAAGATCACGGAAAGGCTAACTTAATATAATAGTCGTTATTAGGCCGTTATGCTTATTATAATGCAAGCTACAGTTAGCAAAGCTAGTAGCTAACATTAACCCCTACCCAGTTGTATTGTAAAGACTCAATGGTAAAGGAAATAATACAGTCCTCATGTTGTTGGTTAAATCAATCGGGCTCAATTGGAAGTTCAACGTGTCGGAATTGGATATTTAGGAATGAGGTATAGTCACATTGAAACAGTTGAAATACAAACGTTGAACTACCAAGCTGAGGGGATTATTTCCCCAGTAGGTACACTTCATTTTATATAAATCTAATTAATTAAAAAGCATTCGGAGCAGATGGCCAAATGTCAGTTAAGTAAATATATGATTCTGTATATTAGTGCTCAGATGTCTCTTCCCAGAGTGTTTAACCTCAGTTTCAGGGCAATTGGTTCACCAGTTACTTGTGTCTGTTTGGCCCAAGAAGCTTTTGCTTTCTACTCGTATAGCTGTATAGAAGTACACATTCCTGATCGTTTCTTAGCCCTGTACAAGTACAAGTACAATGACTGCACAAAGTGCTCTCATTCTATCAAGAATCAAATGCGATGCATTGTGCAGACTTACACATCAAGCACTATAGCCACATCAGAACCAAAAGAAGGATATATTTTAAGATAGGATAGAAGTCCAAAAACTAAAAAACGACTCTATCAATGAAGTGTAATAAATTAAAGAAATTCTTCACAGTTGTTCATTTAGGACAGAAGGTTCAACGTTGTTAAGAATATAAATCCAATTGACCTGCACTCTTTGTTAGAGCAGAACATTTTGATACTCCTTTGTTTTCCTTAGTCAGAATCTACAAATATATGGAGTAAGGTGAACATATAGTTAACCCAGCACACATTTAACAGGATTTCAAAACTGGGCTAGCGGTAGCCCTGACAACGACTCATTGACTATGAGCCTTTGGTGGATGGCTAAACAAAGTTTGGCTGACTTTTTACAGAACCTCTGTGCAAGATGAACCCAGGCTCAGTTTAGACAGGGACACAATGCAACAACATGTGTTTTTCATTTAAGCTGGCGTTAAGCTGGGTGTTCTCTGAGAAAGTACATTACATTTCTATTCGAAAGTTACACCAGCATATAAACGTACTACTGTGTGATGCTTTAGATAATGGGATTGCTTTTCTGTATCTGCTGTATAAAAACTAAAAACTTTAAACATAACATTTCCTGACATTCCTAACATGCTAAGTGAAACATCACGAGGGTTGATATCAGCTAATATGAATTTACATTACATTACATTTTACTTGTTAGACGCTTTTATCCAAAGCGACTTACATACTTAATACTGTGGACAATCCCCACAGGAGCAATTTGGGGTGAAGTGTCTTGCCCAGGGACACAACGACATGCTGACTGCAGTGGGGTTTGAACCTGTGACCCCCCTGACCCCAACACCAAGGCTCTATCCACTGTGCCACACACCTCCCTTATTACAGATAAATCATTGTAGATGATATAATGCCGGTTTTTATAAATGTTGGATTGGCATTCAAACGGATGACAATGAAAGATGAAAAAAGGCTTTCCTGTCGCTCGCATGGAATAGACACATTTCAAATATTGTATTTACTATTCAAAATGTGGAACCTCCCTCTGCAGAGTAACTTGCGTTTGAGTGTATATATGATGTCCTACAGTGCAGATGGAATTGTTTTCTGTGGTAAAAATTGCGTGGATGTTTTGCAGGTTTTAGAGAACTTCTCTGATGCACCCATGACTCCCAAACAAATCCTCCACGTCATCCAGACCAAGGGGCTGAAGGAAATGCGGTCAGACAGAAACACACACACACACACACACACACACACACACACACACACACACACACACACACACACACACACACACACACACACACACACACACACACACACACACACACTTACTTACTTCAGTATAGGTGTCAGCTACTACTGTTAGAAAAGTAACAACTGTTTATAATAAAAGCTGTTCTATTGAACCTGAATGCAGTAACCTATGTAAGGACTCTTGTGTGGTGGAGCTATACCTTTTTTAATTGTAGTGTAAAAATGCCCAGCATTCATTCCAATGTAGATAATTCAATTGAACAACAATGTCCTTTCAATCAGTGTTCTAACAGATTTTTTTTATTTCCTTTTACATGGATCTATCAATCTATCTATGGATCACTTGGCCTGCTGCTGACAGGAGGTATGTTGGAGGACCTTTATTACTTACACTCTTTGTCTGTTTTTCATACCCTTTCATGTTCTCTGAGGTCTGCTTGGCACAGTGGGTTTGCATCGGTCAGAAATTGGCATTGTTGGTCATTTGGTTGGTTAAGAACACTGCCTGAGGGCTATTTAGCGTAACTTTCCTCTTAACTAAGTAATTAACAGGGCGTGTGGTCTTTGTGAGAAGAAGCTGCTGCTGCAGGAGGAGCGCATGCTGCATCATTTCCTCATCGAGAAGCACATTTTAGGAGCGGCAAATGTTATCCCATCCCATAGTTTTACCAAGTGATAATTTCTCTGAGAAAAATGTTTCCCATCTTCATAAGAGTTCCTGAAGTGTTGCAGCAGAGCGCTGTAGGTTCAGCTGTCAGAGGGAAATTGAAACGGCCAGAGAAGCCACGCTAACCTCAGTCTCTGTTCAAGTTTATTCTCCATGCCCTTATATGCACAATCTATAAGTGTGTTCTGTATATTTATTCAAATTCATAAATTACGATTTAATGTTATCAAATATGTCTTACCTTTTTAAAGAAAAAAAGATAGGTAATAAATGATTATGACAAACAACAAGGAAATCCAACACAACCACTGACTGCTTGTTCCTGAAACCTTCTCACTGACTTGGTGATTGTGTAGCAGACTAAAGAGGCTTGTATCAAATGTATTTGTGTACAAAAACCTGTCTTTTGAAGGAATCTTCTGTTAAACGTAGTTTCATACATTTGTTTAATTGAAAATGTGCTCATTCAACGTTTTTTTAATAATAAAAATGTATATTTCCGTGGCTCAAAAGAAGAATAAATAACAACAATATAGACAGAAAAACATCATCAATGGTGTTGGCATCGGTCAAATTGTTCATCTGAACGTTGGCGTCGGCTGAGGGATGTGCAATGGGGGCATCCCTTATTTGTTTTGTCGTATCCACGCATCATATCGTCCAAACTCAGCTTTCTGTAACTCTGTTCATGAAGGACATGACTATTATGGAAAGCTTTCTGACTTTATGACAAGCACTTGGTAGCATGAAAGGTTTTCTTATCTGAATGTGTGTGTTTGTGTGTAGTGGTACAGCACCTTTGGCCTGTCTGGTCACTATGCTGCACTCCCAGGTGAGGGGAGACCGAGTGAAGAACAGCATCTTCTTCAAGCTGCCGGGACGGATGAGCCTGTTCACCCTAAAGGTACACACACACCATCATCTTCACCTTGAATGCTTCTCTACTGCTGCCTGCATTTATTCATGTAAATACACATTACTATTGTTATTGGTATCTTCAAAATGACATCTGAAAATAAATGTAATAAATA